ACGAGTTTTATTATAAGTCGACCGTACAACGTTGGTTATTTTTGTCGTTGACGACCGAAACATTTTTTTTCAAACAGGAGAACTACATTTGCGCTCACGTACACACATTGATGTGATAATACTCTGTGGAACGTATGTACCTAATTTAGAACGTCAATTGGTTAATGAATATTATTTCTAATTATGTTCAATACAACTTCGATGCAATTACGCAGATTTTGATTTAATTTATCTATACAATTAGGCCTCATTAGGCTAGAGAATCGTATTAACAATAATTATAGTCGATTTAGCAATAATAAAATTAGAAGATGCAGGTCCTGTAGGCGATCTTGACCCCTTGATTTTTTTCTCTATAAATGGGTAATTCAATTTCACGACGCACCTAGTATTAAGTGAATCGGATAACGGCATCTACTCATGCAGGCTGACTATTAGTAAAATCACCAGGATGTAACAAGAATTTCAAAACGAAAACAACAATATAAAAATGGACAGATATTTACAAAAAAATAAGAAGACATATTGTTTATCCAAAAAATTCAACTATCATTTTAAACGAGTGCTATTTTTAATAAGCTGCTACATTAAGGCGTTATAACGAAGAGCATAACATGTTTTCAAACACTATGACCATGTGTTACAAGCTGCAAGATAACGTGGGTCGTGGCGTCCATGGCAACTGCGCATGTCAAAAACAGAAACCCTGTTACCCCGCTTACCTCCACGGACTCCATTTGACAGCTGATTGGTTGGATATCATCGCCCAGTCACGACACAACGTGCAATTCAATGAACATGGCCGTATGATTGGGTTAAATCACGCGCTCTCCCGAAGATAAACCATTTCGGCGAAGTGTGATTAAAACGTTGCAATATTAATGAAATTGCGTGTCACGTTTGCATACAACGTGACCTAGCAAACTTTAAGTTTTCGTGCATTTAATTATTTTTTTAGGTTTCATTTTGAGTGTTCGTTAACACATTTGAGGTTATCGCGTGACACGTGTGCGATAATGTTACTGTTAATATTAACAACAAAGAGTTTTGTTTAGGTTGTCAACGTTACTGTTTTTGTATATATTTTGTTATTGAATATTGAACAATAGTGTATTTTAATCGATAATATAACATTGCAGGAATGGCAATATGTTTAGGCGAGTTACATTTGACAAGCGGTGGTCCGTTAACAGTTAGAAGTATTGGCGCGGTCTCCTACAGGTGGGCGGTTTTGATTTATTATGACGTCGAGATAATGACGTCACCTAACTGATACTACAGCGCGTACGGATCTGTCAAATTCCTACGCGAAGAATCTGTGCTTCATGGTCAATGTCAGTAGGCTATTATTGATCGAAGTCAGTAGGTAATCTCATGTGATTAAGAAATGGGAGTCTAGGTTTGTTGATGCGTTCGCTACGACAATGAGTGAAGTTAATGCATTAACAAAATATACCTAGTTTAATTGTTTGTCTATAGTAAGTAATGTATTATCCATGATGACATGTTTTACACTATAGGTTGACTATAGAATTACTAAAACGATAATTTGTTTAGGTTAGCAAAAGAATATTGATTGGTATATATCTGGTAGTTTTTTTTTTTAAACCAGTAAGGACACTGCAGTTAATTTCTTTCCTTATACGATAGATTTTCTCTCACCTGATGGTTGTCAAGCTGAAATCGCTCCTAGCGATAAGACTGCCCATTGTAGTATTTTCTTAATTTTAATTTTAATTTCTTTTTTAATTTTATTATGGTTTAGAATAAAACATACTCTAGTCTAAATTCTAAAATCAGTCTGCGACATACAATATGCATGTTATTGTAGTAGTCACCAGGGTTGGCAAAATAAAATAAATTATCATTGGATTCAAATTGCAAATATGTACATGGTATTTCCGAAAGCGTCATAATTTTAAAATAAACATTTATTATTATCGGATTTAATAGACATCAATGCTTTGCGTATACGATCTGTTATGAGGAAACTTTTAAGTCTATTTCAACTATGGTCCTACTATTGACGTGGCTAGGAATGCTCGCATCGTCTCTTGCTTTTCGACTTGACAATCAGCTTCAGAAATGATTGTAACTGAAGGGTGGGGCAGCAGTTGTAACTATACTGAGACCTTAGAACTTATATCTCAAGGTGCGTGGCGCATTTACGTTGTAGATGTCCATGGGCTCCAGTAACCACTTAACACCAGGTGGGCTGTGAGCACGTCCACCTATCAAAGCAATAAAAAAAAAATGAAAATTTCGACGTGAATTTCGGTGGTAGATACAGGGAAACACTGCTCTTGCTGGGGCCAATGTTAGTATTTCTCTCGAGTTGAAAATATACAATAGTCCATTAGGCAGGGGAAAGAATTAAAAAAATATCTCAACACGTCCTATTTAGGGTTCTCGTCATTCACTCACAGTTCTAATTAACCGAATGAAAATAAACAATACCCCAGTTGAGCTGCTAAAACAGGGCGTTATCAATACTTACTAACTAGACTAAGGAAAATTAAATGTGCAGTTTTTGTTACACAATTAACATGGTATGACTCCAACTTTTCGTAATCAACGGACAAAGAATGCGTCATAACGTCACGAGGCAGAAAAAATAATTTGCGTGTTTTTTTTTTAATATAACAAACGTTGGGGCACCGCTTAGCGTATTTATTGTTACATTTTGAAGCTTTCCGAAGATAAAAAGCTTACTGACTTTCTCGCCGGATCTTCTCAGTGGGTCGCGTTTCCGACCCTGTGGTAGATTCTGGTTTTTTTTATACTTCCTACCTAAGCTGATGGTCTAGAGAGACCATATCAGCGTAACCTTAACTAGTAGGTGAGCTCACGGGGCTCAAACCGGACGACGTTGCTAACACCAACCCTAGCAAGAGCCGTGCTTCGCAGAATCTACTACCGGATCGGAAACGCGACCCACTGAGAAAATCCGGCGAAAAACTCAGTGGGCTTAGATTCTGCGAAGCACTACTCTTAGTGTCTACTCTAGTGTTAGCAACGCCTCCGGTTTGAGCCCCGAGAGCTCACCTACACGCTAGGGTAACGCTGATATAGCCTCTTAAGGCTATCAGCATAGCTAGGAAAAACAAAAAAAACCCGTAGTGTACGCTCCATGGGATGCTTATTAATATTTACATGCAATGAATCGATATTGTTGTTTGCTGTACAACGATGGTTTTATATTTCGCAACCCGCAATGAGCATGTTTAGATCTTGGGTATCAACAACCGCTCCTCACAGTCGGTACGTGTTCTTTTAATCCCACGCATCATCCGAATTTATTCTTTAAGCCGCTTAATAAAAGTCCTTTTTTCATTCTCGAATGTTTTTAGTGTTAATGTCAGGAATTTACAATTTAATCACCATTATTTACGTATTACAGAGCACATCCATCGATAATAGAAACACAGTACAATGTATGTTTTAGAAGCGTTTGTCGTATATGCATAAACGTTCATTTATTAAAAAGTATCTAATAAATTTCAGCACATTTTAAGCTATTTCCAGCCCATAGACGTAAGAACCTGAATAAATAAATAATAAGGGATAAGTTCCATACGGTAATCTGGCCCCAGGGAACTAGAGACTCATGTTCATACATAGAGTTAGTATTGTAGGTACTTATTAACTCCATGTGTGCATATTTATTTCTAACTAGCTGACCCGGCAGACTTCGTAGTGCCTCAATCGGTAAATAAAGGACACATCAAGGGGACACATCTAAGGAAAAACAAATTTGTTTGTTTTTATATAATTCCAAGCATTTTCATATTTTTTCACCTTTTAAACCTTCTCTGGACTTCCACGAATAATTCAAGACCAAAATTAGCCAAATCGGTCCAGCCGTTCTCGAGTTTTAGCGAGACTAACGAACAGCAATTCATTTTTATATATACATATATAGGTATTATGTACCATTATATCGAGGAGTGAAAGGCTATTTGGTTCAAGCGATATTTTTGCATCTTTACAAGTGAGCCATTTAATGTTTGAAATTTGGAAAAAATATTATCATAAAAATAATAATTATTCAGCTGTTTGAATGGGGTAAAGTTAATTTAAGTAAAAACTTCATAATAAAAAATACTTCTTTACTATTTCAATGGTAAATTTAATTGAAGATCAATTAAAAACATCAAACTGTTGATGCCGATTCCAAATAAAAAGGACTTTTAATTACAAAGATATCAATGTCCGTGTTGAGCGAAATGTCGCTTGAACCAAATATCCTCTCACCTCTCGATATATACTTTATTATATACATACCGTAAGCACCTAGACACGGAGCAGACGGACCTTTTCGTCAAATGAATAACCTAAACCGCGACTAAAAACGTGCGACCGTCACTCAGTGGCGATAACAGGGTCACAGAGTCAATCTTAATGAACTCCACCGTCTACCTTGAAACATGAGGCTGGAGTCTCAATTGTATTGTATAACAGCTATCTCATTTTTGTACCATGATTGCTTCATGGCAGAAATAGGCAGAACGATACTACTTATCACTACACACTACGGGTTTACATAACGCTCTACCACCAGTAAAAGCCAATAGGAGATGGTGGTACAGTACGGTACTTCGGCTGCTCAGTCTACAGAATCCCAAGTTACCTTGTACCTCAAGCACCGGTCTAATCCACAGACATAGCCCACTGGGCGGGGCAGCCGTTGTAACTATACTGAGACCTTAGAACTCATGTCTCAAGGTGGGTGGCGGCGATTACGTTGTAGATGTTTATGGGCTCCAGTAACCATTTAATATCAGGTAGGCTGTGAACTCGAGCACCCATCTAAACAATAAAAAAACCGTAGGTAGATTTTGCGAAGCACTGCTTTTGCTAGGGCCAGTGTTAGTAACACTTCCGGTTTGAGACCCGTGACCTCACTTTCCCTCTCGGTGATTCTAGCATGACCCCTCGAGGTCACTAGAATAAGGAACCTATTTAATTTAGTTTATAATAAATAAAAAGTCAAAACGTATTTTTCAATTTTTATTTCCCACATTGAGTCGTTCTCGTCAAAACTTTCAGAAATCATCTACGACTACTACACTACAGTAAAATAAATGAAAATAGAATAAATACATGCAAAAGTGCTGATATCTAGACAAGACAAGTGATGCCATCTATCGGCAACTACGAGTATCAGTGCATTATCAAGAAAACTTAATATCAAAAAAACTTTACGTTGACCCAGTTAGATTTATTTAAATGAGTTTTTAAATGAATTCACAATAATTTTAAGTCTATAAGAAATTTGATTCATTAAATATTAGTTTATATCTATTACCGTGATGACAGTATCGATGTCACAGAGTAAGCGAGACATCTGTCAAAAAATTTGTGATGGTATTATCCACTAAGTAGTAATTTCTCTTGAGTGATTGTTTTTTTAACTATTTTCACTTAATTTGATCTGAACACACAGATGTGACACACAGAGATGTTGTTTATTAATATTGCATTTATGATTTTTTTTTGTTGGGTCAACTTTAGGTAGGTATAGCTAAAGGTTATATATAGCTAATATAAAAATATATGATTGACGCAGCTAGCAACACCGTGCAAACGCCTTCGACAGTGAAAGATAAACATTATTATTGCTTTAGTGAGCCGCGGAGAGCTCTACGATTTTTTCGTTGACGGCAAGCACTTCCGCCATGAATTCCGCGTCCGCCATGACGTTCGCCAAACGGTTAAGGATGGAGAGCAACTCCCCGTCCCGAAGACGAAGTTGTTCATTGCATTGCTCGACTTCTTCGACTACCTCGTCTGGGATCTGAAATGTTAAATTATCAAATTGTGAATGCAAATTCATCCGTGACCACGAAAAGGTATAAGCCGCGCCAATAAAGAAACGAATCGAAAATGGCGTCTATGTACCCGCACTGAGCGATGGTAGGATCAACAAATAAAAAGAAAGATAGAAAGAAAAACAAATGAGAATGTACTTTACTTTACTTTTTTTTAAGGGATTTTATGACCTGGTAACTAAGCCCTTTAAGTCATGTCTTATTTTAATTTATTTTCTTATTTTTATGAAAAATTATGAAATGAAATGAAGATGATTAATTTGAGACATTAATCAACTGGCATGAAATCAAATGAAATGAGATGAGATGATATGGGATGAAATATAATCTCAGTAAAATGGTGGTCATCTACTGAGACTTTTTCATTGGACTTTCTGGAGGATCCCGAGAAGTGACGCCCAGCGGCTTTGTTTCATTTTCCCACATTTGTGCACTTTCACAGATATTAAACAGTTAATAAACCACCGTTATTACACATTTAAACCTGAAGAAACACTAAATAGACAAAATAAAACAAATCACACAACTTCACTCCTTGCGTTCCCGCCAAAAAGTCCTTTACTTTAGTTTATGCCCTGGCAGAGGGGGAGGTGTCTCATTTGGGATGCAACTTGCGTAGACACTTTTGCTGCCAGTCATCTAAGTCGCACAACTCGAAAGTGAAAAAACTCGAACTCAACAACAAAGTCAGAACTGATAAAAATTTTTGCATGCAGTACGCGCCGTGTGCGACTAAAGACAGCAATAGTTTAGAGTGAGAGCGCATGATCGCCGCCGCCATTTTAGATTCGTTTCTTTATTGGTGTGGCTTATACTATCCGAAACATCGGAAAAAATATGATGACAATGATGAACGCGAGATTAAGCCGTAAAGTGTTCTTAATTATATCTGCGACCGGCTTTTTTCCCCTACCTATGCTGATAGCCTTGAGAGGCTATTTCAGCGTTACCGTAGCGTGTACATGAGCTCACGGGGCTCAAACCTGACGTTGCTAGCACGAACCCTAGCAAGAGCAGCGCTTCGCAGAATCTACCACCGGATCGGAAACGCGACCCACTTGAGAAGATCCGGCGAGAAACTCAGTGGACTGTGTCTATGCGTTAATTCACTCGTCGAGCCCTTCGTCTAGCGACGAGTTCGACGAGGGCGGTGACCGGTGCTTGAGGTACCTAAAAGCACCGGTTAATGGATCTGGAGGATCCGTAATAACGTGTTTTGGGCGACGTCAACTGTATACCATTCGGTCCACAGGATCGGGTAGGTATATTGCGACACATGAAAATCAAAGGAAGTATGGAATAATGCATTTGATGTCCTGCCTATTTCTGCCGTGAAGCAGTAATGCGTTTCGGTTTGAAGCGTGGGGCAGTCGTTGTTACTTGAGACCTTAGAACTTGTATCTCAAGGTGCTTGGCGCATTTACGTTATGGATGTCTATGGGCTCCAGTAACCACTTAACACCAGATGGGCTGTGAGCTCGTCCACCCATCTAAGCAATAAAAAAAAATGAAAAAAATTATCCCTTTCATTCCCTCATGTCTTTAATTATTAATTTAATTACCTTCTGCAGCTCCAAAAACACGCTGAACTTGAACTTCTTTCTCTGTTTCCCGCTGGTGCTGTCGTAGAACATGGTGAACTCCTGGTCTTTTAGTTTTAACGGAAAGTACACGCCGGCTGCGAGACGGCCCTTAGGGTCCCTTGCGAGAAGACTCCTGCAATGACACATTTGTTGCTTTAACTAATCTATAAAAGAAATTATTGTGGACAGAACTTTTGTCGGTTTGTTGAAAACAGCTGCCGAGCTCATTCGCATGTCTGGAGACATGTTTAGTCATCGTGGTCTAAAGCAGTGGTCGGCAAACTTATTAGCCAAAGAGCCAAATATAGTAGTAGTAGTTTAGTAAGGATCAGATATAAGTTCTAAGGTCTCAAGTATAGTTACAACGGCTGCCCCACCCTTCAAACCGAAACGCATTACTGCTTCACGGCAGAAATAAGCAGGGTGGTGGTACCTACCCGTGTGGACTCACAAGATGTCCTTCCTACCACCAGTAAAAAAGTGGGTGGCGCATTTACGTTGTAGATGTCTATGGTCTCCAATGACCACTTCACACCAGGTGGGCTGTGAGCTCCTCCTCCCATCTAGACAATAAAATCTTACACTCTCGCTCTGTACTCGTCTGGTGATGAAGCTTGGTGCTTACCTCAAGTCCCACACCAGGTTCCTCTTCTCGGTGACCTCGACGGCCGAGAGGTAGGCCCTCGCGACGTACACGAGGGACAGGCGCTCCTTGACCCCGGCGGCCCTGGTCTCCCGCTCGTGCCACTCCACGTAGCTCGCGTTGTCCGCGTTGAACTGGTACTTGTACTCCTTGCGGCAGTGCGGCTCGTCCGACTGCGTGAACCAACCTGCGAGACAACAACAACTTCACCTGTCACTCTTCGGAAATAGATAGTCGAGGGCATTTAAAAAAATATATATCGACGCTTGAAAGGCAAACGTGACTAAGCGACAATGCGTGAACTTTACAGTAGACTAATTTAAAGTTGAAATATCTGAAAATAATTCTATTTTAAATAGACCTAGAAATATATATTTTTTTGCGCATCGAATATGGTTATTGCCTATCATTTATGTACAAAGCAGTTATTGTCGCTTAGTCACGTTTGCCTTTCAAGCGTCGATAGGTATGTTCTTTATTTATTTTGACCTAAAAGTCTTAGTTACCAGGGTATAAAATCCCTTTAAAAAAAATCATTGTTTATTCTGTCATTTGAAATACATACCGACGGGTGAAAGGCTATGTGATCGTTTAGCGACAATTTAGCTACTTTACAGAAGAGAGCTATTTAAAATATAAAATTTGGAATCAAAAACATAATGACAAAAGGACAATTTCAACTATTCCAATGAGGTAAACTTAGTTCAAGATCAATTGAAAACATCGAATCGTTAATGCTAATACTAAATAAATTGGACCTTTAATTACGTACAAAGATAAATGTTGCATATTAACCGTAATGTTGGTTAAACCAAATAGCCTTTCCCTCTCGATATATGTACATAGTTTGGTTTCGGGACGAGCGCCCGATTAAAAATGAATAAAGTGAGAAATGAAACTTGTACAAGGTTTTTTTTCTAATTTTGGACTTTTACTGTAACCTTCGCATTCTGAGTTAATGAAGCTGCAACCTACCGGTGTGCGGGTAACAACGATCCGCCATGACGGTGACGGCGCGAGAGATGTGATATCCAAGATCCGACAGGAACACGCCGGGTCTGCCGTCGACCTTAACGTGGATCGCCACTAGCACGTGGTCCTTCTCCGTCTCGATCAGGAACCCTTGAGGTCCAGGGAACGACGTGGTGTAATCGTCAAGATCTTCTATGTTCTCGTCACAGGATACCAGCATCATCGCCTTAGTGATCCCGGGGAAATCTTTCTCTAAGAGTTTCAAGCGTTTGATGACTTCCATGCCTAGACCCACGCAGGTGTGTTTGTGGGCGCGGATCGGCGGGTTATATTTCTGGTAGAATTCTTTCAGGGTGTCGATAGGGGAAGCCATGTAAGTGTCGTAGTGCGTCAGGAAGTTGCTAATAGAATCATAGTTTTCGGAAACAACGAGACGACTCAACAGTACCTCGGCTTTGGCTACCAACTCCTCGTATTGACGGAGAGTGAGGTGCAAAGCCGGACGGGGTGCCCCCCAGCGCGGCGGCGGCAGGGGGTGGTCGGCCGGCCAGCTACCGGCATTATCCTGGTGCCTGGAGCCGAGTCAGCTCAACCATTCGGCGCCCCAGCGGCCGACGATGCGGCGGATGGCGCGGGCCTCGCCGGACGTGGACACCGTGGGCGCGGTGGGCTCCGGGCCACATACTCCTGCCCCAGTGGCCCCCACGCCCACGGGCGCCTCCGGAGACCACTCTATGTCCTCACTTAACGGTTTTATATTTAACATATCTGGAAAAGATAAATAAATAACATTACATAAGTATCTACACTCGGCGGCAGATAGAGGCAAATGGCGTGGAATGGTTCGCAATAAACTCTTATTGCGAATTATCATCAATAAACTCTTGTTGCAAGGAGGTGGTCACGACCCTCAGTATTGGGGAAATCGAAGCAAGAAGAAAAGTATCTAAATTCGATATATAAACTTTGTCTTGTCTATAAACTTCATCTTTTTGTCCTAAACATTTGACGCGCGTTGATATTTGACGTGCGTTTGCATTGATAATGTTGATATGTGATCACGGTCAACCTGATATCTTTGAACTCCGGGGATCTGTCAGATGTGTGACGGATATCCTATTTAACAATGGCTAGTTATCGATATATTGTTTGTGTTGGTTGTATTGTTGTCTAAAGTGGATATGATTTTTTTTTTGAACTCTTCATTTTGTTTTTATTTGTAATTTGTAATTTTTTCTCAATAGCCAAAGCTATTACATTAATACGGGTTTGCTGAGTGCATATATCATTTAGATAACAATCCAGATTAGATTTAGGTACTATTTGTACGATATAGCTACTGTAATGATTATAATTTGTTTTGTGCATCAATAAAAAAAAGTGCTTACCGGAATAAACCCGACGATGTTAAATGATGAGATTAAAATATAACTTGTCGATCGATTGCAATTATTAACAACGAAGGAGTTATTCAATTTTAATTTAATTAACTACAGCACATCCGTAATTATAAAACTATTATTGGAATGTTTCATGTTTATTGCACATTTTACTACTCGCAATGTTATAAATGAGTCGACTATTATCAAAGCCGGCAATCTGACTTTTGGACAATGATTAGTAAATCAGAAAAACGAATTATTGACTTTGTATTCCATTGCCAGTCACAAAACTCTTCGGAACGACATCTTAGATAAATAACAGGTTAACTATTAACCTTTATTTAATGCAGGTTTTGAACCGTATTCTTTGAAGGAGATGATTATATTCAAATCAATCTGTACTGACATATCAATAAATTTTTTTTGTCCAAATGCACAGATTGCCACCTTTGATAATAGACGACTCAAATGTCCCCCTGTCGCATTCCGAAAATAAAACGGCATGTTTCATTTACGTCACAATATTTTAACTTTGTTTTATTATTTGTGGCTTCATGCCAACTCATTTCGACGGCGACAGAATTTCACATTGAAAACTTCCACCAAATTTTATTAATTACCCGGACATGCGCAAAAGCGGTATAGCATCTCGTCATCACGAAAATCACCTTAATTTAAGACAAGAATGACATAGATTTACCAGAAATAAGAAGTAAATACGTGAAAATCGAAGTCAGAGAGCAGTTTAATTAGCTAAATTGGTCACGCGAAGTCCTCATTCCTGCTTTGTAGTCGATGACGCAGTGCCATCAGCGGCGGAGGATAATGACTTACAGGAAAATTAACTGACATTAAATAGTCAATAGTTAACTAGCTTTTGACAAACTAAGCAACGCTTTGTTTGTTAATTGATAAAACGAAAAATAGTTGCATAATAATAATTATTATGTTTTTAATTTTATTTATTAGATGATCTTAACGACTTTCGAGAATTAATTTAATGACTATCGAGAGGTGTTTTAATTAATTTTATTTCCGATTGAAAACAAAAATAATTCAATAAAAGTGGGGCTATTAAGGTTTTAGTACCTACCTATATAATTATCTTTTTATAAGTTACGAGTTCAACATGACAACTACTTCATAGTTACTTAAAATGTCTACGAAACTCAAAATAAACAAATATCTATTCAACATACCTCGACGGTCACACAAAGTCGATCTTAAAAGGGTGCCATATTTAAAATGAATGAACGAAATCCAAAACGACCGAGAACGTTCTGGAATTATCGATTCTCAGAACTACGTTCATTCGTTTCCAGATTCATTCAAATGACAACCGGGAGTTTGTTACGTAGATTATACACAATGTTAATGTGTCAAAGGGTCAGTGAATGGAATCATATGGAACAGACGTGCCCTTGAAATTAAGTTCCCTAGAAACTTGTCGGGGTCTATGAAATTCCAGACCAAATTAAACTAATTGAAACTAGCCATATTAATGACCTATATTAGGAGCGATAAAAATGTTATATTGATATTACGCCGTAATGTTATCAAGCACGTATCTCAGCTGTATTACAATTAATGAAAAGGTAAACATACCCATTGTTTGGCTGGAAGCCGAGCGAAGAAGATGCCCTTTTTCGGAGTTCGTTGTTTGTTTACTTCTAGAATGTAACTGGTATGGAATTCGTCCACGCGTCCTATATAAGCCTTTCGAAGTGTTTGTCCTCCGCACCCCGCACCCCGCACCTCATTCCTCGTGCGTCACAACGATGCTAAAACTACGAAACATGTGTGCGTCGATTATTTTGTGTATTCATTCAAGCAAGGGTGTATTATCGATGTGTGCGTTGCGTCAAAACACTGCACATGTTTTGGCGCAATATTTACGAATTGAAAAAGTACAGTTGAGGCCGTCAGCGTAAATGTGACCTAAGCTTCCTATAGTTAGTGTGCAAATATGATTTACATTTACATACTTCGTAGCCAAATATAGTTCGCGCAAAAATAATGTTTACAAAGCCATCTGTTATCTATGAAACTAGGGATAAACCGTTTTTGCATAAATTTTTATTATGTTTTCAATAAATTGCAATATATAAGCACGAATATGAGCAATTGTGGGTTAGGCCACTTTTACGCTGACGGCCTTAGCAGTTCCGAATTTGCATACGTTTGTGTATGTATGTTTGTACTCTATGATGAACAAAATATGAGTGCATATTATTTTCAATAACAGTAACAAATGTAGGTAGACACTTGTACATACAGCAGCATTACATATTTCCCTCCTGGCCAAGTTGGTCCCCTTCTAGCTAAGCCTTTGCTCGCCCACCTGTCCTGGTGAAAGTGGAAAGGCCTCCGGGCCATCAATACTAATTCAATCATCAAAAAAATATATGTATTATTATAATTTAGGTAGTGTTGCCGATTGTTTAGTAACGATACTCGTAATGGTATTTCGAGACCCACTCAATTTCACTTAATTCAAACAAAAACCTAATAAGAAACCTATAGTATTTAATTAAAAACTATAAAAATATGAATAAAATATCATTTTTGTTTCGATATTAGTAAATACCGATGTAGTTTTTTTTTTAAATAAATGTAATTCGATTTAAATTGCCAAAATGATTCCCAAAAAGTTTACCTTCTGAAAAGTTTCTGTGCGCATTTTGTTTTAATTGGAATACCTAGATTTGGGATCCGCTCATTTCACAACACACCGTAATGTCGTATCCTATACCGTATTTACCATAAGGGAACAGGGGGCCCGTGCCCAGGGCTCCCATTCTCAGGGGGGCCCGAATGACCAACAATTTCTCTCACACATTTTTTCTCAAAACATTTTTGTAGGGCACATTACACTTTTTTCACAAATCAATAAGATTATCAGAAGGTATTTGCAAGGCATATACTACGCCATTATATAGATGACTGCGCCTATTCCTACTGTACTAATTAATAATATTTCCGAACGCATCCTACCTAATTTACTAAGTATCAAGATCACGATACCGGTTTCCGTTATCGTAATCGTAACCAAAAAACCAGCAGCATTCTAATATCATTAATGACATATTATATCATACTGTATTTGATTACCTATAATAAATGGTCATACTCAGTAAAAAAATCTTTTTTTATTTTCCAAAAGGGCCTCAAATTCTTGTGTGCCCAAGGGCCCCAGCCTAATTGAAGACGTCCCTGGTCGTATCGTAATATTATTACCTAGTAATCTTACAATTAATTACACATACTTCGTCGTACACGTATGTATATAGCATAAATATTTACAAACTATAACACAAAGCACATTACACCTGCTTTATGTTAACGGGTTAACGGAAACCTTTTGGTTTTTTTTACACAATATTAATCTATTCTCAATTTGACCACAGTCTTCAAATAATAACAAAAGTTTGACAGCAAACAAAGAGTAGTTTTGTGTCAAATACATGGTAGTGTGTGTAATGTATTTTAAAAAAAAAGTATTGTTAATGTATTAACATTCTACACTCCTTCTCTATATTCTTATTATTCTCTATATTTTTAGTATTAATTTTAAGATTGGGCTAATCTTTTTAACTATAACCATTAACTAACTATTACATCACCGTGCTTTTGTATCATACCGTTGAAGCATAGTATAGTAAGTAGCACACAGAATCACCTTCGTCATAAAGGCTGCTAATAAAAAAAGTAACCAAACAATGATTCATCGTTGGGTTCTGTAGTACTCAGTGCGCGTTTCCAGGTAATACGACTATGGTTTTAGTAACGACGTCATATCTAAATTTAGACATCGATCCGCGTCGAAACCAAGCCCTGACCTTCCTGCGCTAAGCAATCATGTTTGTGACGGGAAACCCAGGGGTCGGGCAAAATACATTGGCGCTTAGAGATCGTTGTTAACTCAAGTCCGGTAATGGAATTCCCACCACAGGAAAAAGATGAGTTAGAATTTCAGAGTCATCATCGCCGTCTTTCTAGATTCAATTTTATATAGATTTACTGGTGGTAGGACCTCTTGTGAGTCCGCACGGGTAGGTACCACCGCCCCGCCTATTTCTGCCGTGAAGCAGTAATGCGTTTCGATTTGAAGGGTGGGGTAGCCGTTGTGACTATACTGAGACCTTAGAACTATATCTCAAGGTGTGTGGCGCATTTACGTTGTAGATGTCTATGGGCTCCAGTAACCACTTCACACCAGGTGGGCTGTGAGCTCGTCCATACATCTAAGCAATAAAATTAAAATAAAAAAAAGATGCAAAATATAATTTCTGTCTTTCGTATGATCAGTTCTAGCATTTGATTCGATTCTCCGAATGAATTCTAAGGTTTTGCGATTTTGAATGCTGTTGGTTTTTACTGGCGACGTTAATTTAAAGGGAAGCTCCTAATAATAATAATGACAAGTAATTTGATGATCCAGTTTTCTGTATGTGAATAATTTTCAAGATTTTTGTTTGAGACTGTACTATAGATCCAATAGATGCATCAAGCTGACAATACAAATATTCAAATAGTCTTTAACAAAAATTTCAACGATATTTGATGTTGTTTTATTTTTTTAAATAAAATAACACTTATTGCGGCGTAACTATAATAGTTAAACATACGCTGTCGCGACACTTTTTTTGTAAATTGTAATGTGTTCTACAAAGTCGTAGTACATTATTTTATTATATCATCAATAGTTTCACAGGGCACGCGATGTAAAGAATATTTAAGGTAATTTTTTTACACCTTATTTTATTGGAGTTTTAGTAAGGATCTCTAATTTTTTTCAAAAAAGATTATAGCCTATGTCACTATGGAATAGTGTAGCTTCCAAAAAGTGAAAGAATTTTTTAAATCGGTTCAGTAGTTTCGGAGCCTATTTAATACAAACAAACAAACAAATATTTCCTCTTTATATTATTATATATTAGTATTAGTATAGATTTAATTTACATTTTAATAAATTTACAGGAGAGCTATTTCGAGTTTAAAATTACGAAAAAATACCATGACATGACAAAAAATCTTCTTCAGCTAATTGAAGTTCAATTAAAAACATCGCATTGTTGATACTAATACCAAATAAAACGAACATTTAATTACAAAGATAAATCGAAATGTCGCTTAAACCAAATAACTTTTCACCTTTCGATAAAGTAATAAAACAATTGGGATAAAAATATGTTAATTAATTGTTAAACGATTGCACCAATTTAAAATTTTAAAAGAGACACCAGATTGTTCTGAATTTGCATCACACACACACACGCACACACACACACACACACACACACACACACACACACACGCACGCACACACACACACACACACACACACACACACATAACATTAATAAATGCAATGTTTATTTACTTTTAACATATTGACATCGGGAAGTCAAACGAGATATACCTACATGTGATGCGCGATTCAACATTGCTAGGCGAACAGATCACGTGTAAGCCGAGAAAGACAAACGTGACGCACAGATAACGTTAATTGCTTAGACCTTGAAAGTGTAAATAAAAATACAGCCACAGTGCAACAAAGCCACTGCACGTCGAGCTAGGCAATATATCTTTCTAGCTTATCATAGTTCAAGCCCTCCTTAAAATAGGAATCTGACGCCTTCAGCTCTAACACTAGGAGCAGGCTTAGGGACCCCGGTAACTGTACTCGTCGAGCTCGACAAAGAGTTCGACGTGCAAACTAACCCGGTTTCTCGCCGGATCTTCTCAGCGGTAGGTAGTAGATTCATTCGCGAAGCAGTTGCTCTTGAGTTGTTAGGTCTCTTTCGGAGCGCTCGGGCAGCTGTTAGCAAATCCCACCCCTCTTGGCTGAGTCTTTGCTCGCCCACTTGTCCTGGTGAAACTAGAAAGGCCTCCGGGACAATAGCATCATCCAAAAAAAAAAATTAGCGTCGCGTATTATCTAGTCCTATCCCATCTCTATTCTCGTTTATTTAGTATAAAGCTGCCTTTTTTGCTCTACCTAATCGTTGGTAACTTAAGGGGCTATTTAATCCAATACGCACGGATCCGTATATGAGCTTACCAGTTCATACTGAGAGAATTGCTAACGCTGACTCTAGCTAGAGCTTCGCCGAAATTACCACCGGATCGGAATCGCGACTGAGGGATTACTGGTGGCTTGGAGGCTTTTCCAGTTTCACTAGGACAGGTAGGCGCGCAAAGGCCCAGCCAAAAGCGGTGGGGTTTGCCAAGAGCTAGGTACCTGAGCGCTTCCATAGGAAACCTAATAATTCAAGAGCAACTGTTTCACGAATGAGCAAGAAACTCAATGGGTTATGTCTATGCGAAACTGTCTATATTAGGGAAGTAACTATGAGTTTTTGGGCTTTGTTTACTTTGAATAGAAAACCCAACAGTTTCACCACCATAGAGACACTACTTTAGTATTATCAATTCGACGCACCGCATTATGGAATTTACGTCACGTAAAACCGCTACTTCCAAGTATGAATAACGGTATTCAATCGTTTTTTCTCGTTAGTACATTGGTGACGCTTCATCCTCATATTTACCAACAAAATGAGTCATAATTTTGAAATGTACGACGTAGCTATTACGTAATTATATTCCGTAACACGAGATAGAGAGTTATGTTAGTTTTTTGCTGTCAAATATATATGTAATTAATTAAAAATACACGAAACAGAACGATAATTGTATAGTAGTCAAATAAGGAATTGTTTCTATAAGTTTGTTTTATATGTTATCATGAACGACTATCACTTGCAAAGTGTCAGTCGCCTTCGATGGGTATAAAAATCTTACACATTAAGGAATAAAGACTATTATCGTGTAATTTCCTATGGTCATGGGTTGTGCTCTTTTAAGTGAATACGATTTTTTTCTTTTTTTTATACTGTGACATTGGCATAATCAATGCCTAAGGCGCTGGAGACATTTAAAAAAAAGTCAGTATGAGCAGTTTTATATACAAAAAAGTTGTAGTCGTTGTGGCCTAACGGATAAGACGTCCGGTGCATTCGTGTTGAAGCGATGCACCGGTGTTCGAAACCCGCAGGCGGGTACCAATTTTTCTAATGAAATACGTACTCAACAAATGTTCACGATTGACTTCCACGGTGAAGGAATAACATCGTGTAATAAAAATCAAACCCGCAAAATTATAATTTGCGTAATCACTGGTGGTAGGACCTCTTGGGAGTCCGCACGGGTAGGTACCACCACCCCGCCTATTTCCGCCGTGAAGCAGTAATGCGTTTCGGTTCGAAGGGTGGGGTAGCCGTTGTAACTATACTGGGATCTTAGAACTTATATCTCGAGGTGGGTGGCGCATTTACGTTGTAGATGTCTATGGGCTCCAGTAACCACTTAACACCAGGTGGGCTGTGAGCTCGTCCATCNAAAAAAAAAAAAAAAAAAAAAAAAAAAAAAAAAAAACTCTTCTTTCTATTCTACCCACAAACACATGTAAGCGCTCAAAAATGTATACAAACACTCACCCGCGAACCTTTTTATTTGTACAATAAACATAGACTTGCATGTGTGCTTGGCAGAACGTAAACAAAACATCAAACGAATAAAAAAACAAACTTTATCCCGTTGATATAAAAGTCAAATTTCTAATTACAAAGCCTGAAAGAGTCGGGCCAGAGTAAAATACTTCTTATCGGATTGAGTTACGAACACTCGATGCCAGTCGTGTGACAATTTTTAACCTTATATTCTAGTCTTTAGTGCTCTGGAATAAGAATCAAGATAAATCGCGAATGGAATATAAAAGGATTTAGAAAAATATGTCGTATGTTTTTAGTAATAAGAGTGATGTATATTAGACTCAAAAACAATAATAATTCAACCTCGCACTTTCCAGATATTTCCTTTGGTATTTTTCCAAAACAAACACGGTTTGATACAGCGGTGTACGGTTTTATTTAGATAATTTCTGAATTGTACATTTCTGTGTAACTGCGCAAAAGAGTTATTTTAAAAGAAAAATCTTTGATCTTACTAGAAAAATTCCTACCACGTCGAATCTTGAATAATACGATATCCAATAAAGACTGTAGTACTTACTACACATCAAAGTGAGATTTAGATTAAAGCACTCCGCAAATGTTTAAAATAATTTATTTTTATTTGACTTTACTTTACTGAAATGAGAAATGTCTTCCATTTCTAAGTCAGTTAAAAAAGAACATAAAAAAGGCTGGTCGTTTAATATGTATTTAAATGTATAATACACAGGTATTGTACTTATGTTTAACTAATCTTTGGATCTTATAGTACTGAGAATCATATTATTGAGTAGGTTTTTATGTGCTAATTATTTCTGATTATTTATTTAGAATTATTTACTAGGTCGAATTAGGAAATAGTCGTTATTTTCTGGCTTCGAATGTAGACTACGAGACAGATTTTTTTTATATTATCTTCCTATTCGTACACTCTTGACGGAGTGGTCGTGGTCATGCATCAGTCGGATCCTGCGATACCGATGCTCTCGCGATGCGACGCCATGTGGCACGATGTTTCGCAGAGTGAGAGCAAACATTTATGTTGGAGTGAGTCACAGATTTTATGAGGTCGGTCCATCCTGTTGGAGATCATCCGCGAGATCTTTTGCCCTCGACTTTCCCTTGCACCACCAACCGCTCAATGGAGTCCTCATTACGAGTGATGTGCCCGAAGAACTTATATTATCTATATAGGTATTAATACGTGAAGCAAAAAGTTGGTACCACTTTTTACGAAAATTGAATTACGATTACGAAATTATAGAGAATATAGAGGAGGAGTCATAGAGATGGTATATTTAAATCAATGGGAGGAGTGCAGAATTTGATTATTTCTTTAAATTGTGCATAAAAAAATACATTAAATCAATAAAAAAAAACATTACGTCATACACTACCATGTATTTGATACAACTCATTTATATCCTCTTTGTTTATTGTCAAACTTTTGTTATTGCTTAAAGTCTGTGGTCAAATTGAGAATAGATTGATAATGTTTGTTTAATATTATTGGGGTTTAATGTATGTAGTCTTGGCGAAATCTGTGAATAAAGAAGTTTAATAGTCTCTGACAATAGAACCATAATAATGTTTAAACTTCAAGTAATTATTGTCGAATATCGATTTATACTGGTTATTTTTTTATACTGGTGGTAGGACGTCTTGTCAGTCCGCACGGGTAGGTACCACCACCCTGCCTATTTCAGCCGTGAAGCAGTAATGCGTTTCGGTTTCAAGGGCGGGGGCAGCCGCTGTAACTATACTTGAGACCTTAGAACGTGTATCTCGAGGTGGGTGGCGCATTTGCTTTGTAGATGTCAATGGGCTCCAGTAACCACTTAACACCAGGTGGGCTGTGAGCTCGTCCACCAATCTAAGTAATAAAAAAAAAATTTTTTTTCGTCTACTGGGGTACCACAATAAAGATAAAACTGTGCCCATACCGACAACAATATTGACTTTTGGACCGATCATTTAGTGACAAAGAAGATTCGAAGAGAACTTATTTACTCGGGTCGAACAATTACTTCTGAATACATATTTGTTCAGTAATAACTAAGTCGTTATTTAACGGGTACTTATCATAATTTCCACAATTAATGAGTTCCCAGTACTTCGAGTATTCCAAACCCGAGGATCTCCTAAACTCATTACTTTAAAGTTAGTTATAAATTGTTAAATAGACGTTTATTTCGCCATCTAGCTGCTGAATCCGTCTTTTTCTTTGTGAATTGTAAACATAAGAAGCGTATGGAAAAATATAGGTTGTAGTTTAATGTGGGATTACTAGAAATTTTACTCTTAAACTGTAAAAATAGGTAAAATTAGCTTAAATAAAGAGTTACTATAAAACCAATGTTCATATTGTTTATGTACATAATATATTGTTTGAAAATTTATTAAAAACATGTTTCCCTTTGGTGACATTAGCTTGCATTGGTTTTTTAATAAAAACAGATTTAAGTTAATTAAAAAAAAAACCACAATAAGTTTGTCAGGTGTGGGGTTCGAACCCACGCTCCCTCTCGGGAACCAGAGCTTAAATCTGGCGCCTTAGACCACTCGGCCAACCTGACTTACGATTGAGGCTCTAATTTTGCATTAGTATCTACATTTCGTAAATGCGTACTTTAATGAAATTCAATAAATATTTTAGTGTCTTTTTATATATTTGCATTTTTGGAAAGTATATGAGTAGATTTTTATTTATGACTAGCCGTACTCACCCACTTCGCTGGGTATTTAAAATTAACATTATTATTTATTGCCATTAATTATTATTAGGGAGTCCAACATTCTTAAAAATATTAGCGTATCCATTAAGTACATGTATTTTCTACATGGATACCAAGTTTCAACTCAATCGGATGCATGGGTCAGTAGTTACAACGGAACATCCGTAAAAACCACTGTGTTTATGTGTTAGTATAGATTTAGAATTTTTAATCTTCTTTCAAAGTGGTCGTGAATTGTACGAACATTTTCTAAGATATAATATTTAAGATAAATTATTATTAAGACTGGATAATAATATTTCACTATCATCATCATCACTACTGTTTTTAGACCTCAACCAAGGTTCGCCACTACTGCTTTTTTTTAAGGGATTTTATGACCTGGTAACTGAGAACTTTAAGTCATGTCTTATTTTAATTTATATTCATATTTTTATGAAATATTATATTATTGAGTGAAATGAAAATATGAAGATGATTAATTTGAGACATTATTCAACTGGGATGAAATTAAATGAGATGTGATGAAATGATATGGGATGAAATATAATCTCAGTAAAACGGTCGTTTACTGAGATTTTTTCAGTGGACTTTTTGGAGGATCCCGAGAAGTTACGTCCAGCGGCCTTGTTTCATTTTCCCACATTTGTGCACTTTCACAGATACTAAACAGTTAATAAACCACCGTTATTACACATTTAAATCTGTAGAAACAAATCACACAACTTCACTCCTCGCGTTCCCGCCAAAAATTCCGCCACTACTGCTATTTCTAGTTTCTACGCTACCCGCACTTAGCGGACTCCGATAGTAGTAATAAGCACCGTTTAGGAATTCTGAAATAGTAAAATAAATCTTCGAGAAAATTTACAGCTTTAATTTCTTATATGCATTGTCGTATAGTCTGAGATTAGATGATGTTTAACGAAAACGAGAAAATACACAATGATAAATAATAGTAACTAACTTGGTGCGACATGAAACTGGCACAATGTCAATATCCAAAGGTAAATTTGAAATACCCATGGTACAAAATTACTACGGAGATAGAACGTTAGAAAAATGAGTTCCATACTTACTCAATAGTTTACCCGAGGACGTAAGACGTCAGCCTATATTAAATTTGCTAAATTTAAAAGTTTATTAAAAAAACACTTCTTATATACGTTGTAAACATTTACGTAAATTAATTGTATTAATATAACCTAATTTAATAATTTTTAAGCTATGTTTTTATATAATATTTTTTTCAAGGTGGGTGGCGCGTCTACTTTGTAGATGTGTATGGGCTCCAGTAACCACTTAGCACCAGGTGGGCTGAGAGCTCGTCCGACCATCTAAGCAATTAAAAAAAAAAGCCAGTTACCTGCAGTCAAACTGCGTAAGCAATCTTGCGGGGCATGGTTAAAATGAAAATGTAACTTTTTATGAATAAATACATATATTACATACATAAATTTTAATTTGTTATTCGTTGGGGTCTCACTGCTTCTATCAAGCTCTATCGCATCACGATATTGGTTTGAAGGGTCGTATCGTCGTTTTTCTAATGTCATTGCAACTTCGTCCCCGTCTCGGGAGGATCAGCAGCTTTCATTTTGTGATGTCTAGTGGATAAGGTCTAGTGGATAAGGACCTTAAGGTCTGAGATGGCCTTAATACTACGCCAATAAAATGCTAATGAATAAAACAAATTTAAAAAAAGATTTATTTTAAAGCGCCATCTGTATCTCATATTAGAAACCTCGAAAGTATTAGTTGCAAATGCTACTGACAGATGGCGCTTACTTAAAGAAAATATTAATTACTGAAACCGACAACTGTTTATAACTGTGTAAAATCAGTCTACTCTCCCGCCAATTTATGAAAAATCTAAAAATAGCAATGAATACACTTTTTTCTTAAAATAAAATACTGTTCTAAATATAGGGTTAAAATATTATTTATGATAAACTTCTTAATAGCAACAAGAGGGCGATGCTTCCCATCATTCGAACAGGATGGACGCCGTGCGCCCTATTACAGTCATCTGTGAAACATTGGCACACGGTCTCCAAATGGTCTTCATTGTCCGCCATGTAACAGTCGCGGTGATGACGTATCCAACCACAAGTTCTGGTCACCCGAACGTCCGGTTCGTAGCCTTTGTGGAATACTGAGAAAAGGAAAATCATTTTATATAAACACCTTCAAACCATAAATACGAACAAATTTGTTTTTCTTCTGTCTGTATCTCCGTCGTTATTTCATAGTCGCTTTATTTTCATATTATACTATTTTTAAGACAGATTGGGAGTCTATTATTTGGACGATTGGAGTATTAAATAAAGTAATAATTGTAATTATTAATGACCCTATAATGATTTAATTACATAACTACCCTTGTTTTTAACCCGACTTCAGTGATAAAGTTGCAATTCGATTTTTTATCTATGTTCGATTTGTCTTTGGTCTACCAAAAAGTCGCAAACGTCGCAACTCTAGTATTACTATTGTTTTATTTCATCTATTTAGTGTTTCCTCGGGTTTAAATGTATAATAACATAATAAGGGTGGTTTATTAATTGTTTAGTATCTGTGAAAGTGCACAAATATGGGAAAATGAAACAAAGCCGCTGGACTTAGCTTCTCTGGATCCTCCAAAAAGTCCAATAAAAAAGTCTCAGTAAATATCCACCATTTTACTGAGATTAAATTCTCATCTTATTCATCTCAAATTCTCATTCATCAACTCATCTCATTTCATTTAATTTCATGCAATTGATTAATGTTCCAAATTAATCAACTTTATTTCATTTCACTTCATACATTTTTCATAAAAAAATATATAAAAGGCTGTACGGTGTGATGACCTTTGCCTTTCCAGTCGGGATTTTTTTTTTATTTTTTTTTTATTGCTTAGATGGGTGGACGAGCTCACAGCCCACCTGTTGTTAAGTGGTTACTGGAGCCCATAGACATCTACAACGTAAATGCGCCACCCACCTTGAGATATAAGTTGTAAGGTCTCAGTATAGTTACAACGGCTGCCCCACCCTTCGAACCGAAACGCATTACTGCTTTACGGCAGAAATAGGCGAGGCGGTGGTACCTACCCGTGCGGACTCACAAGAGGTCCTACCACCAGTAATTACGCAAATTATAATTTTGCGGGTTTCAATTTTATTACACGATGTTATTCCTTCACCGTGGAAGTCAATCGTGAACATTTGTTGAGTACATATTTCATTAGAAAAATTGGTACCCGCCTGAGATTCGAACACCGGCGCATCGCTCAACACGAATGCACCGGACATCTTATCCCTTAGGCCACGACGAATAAAACTACTACTACTCTATTAACCAAGGGACCACTTTTTTTTTAGGAATGCAAAAGCTGTCAGTTACTGGTCTGCATTATCTTCCTGCAGAAGAAGGCGTGGTGTCCTGAAGAGACGACTCCACTTCCGCAGTGGGTGGTCGGCAGGTACTTGTCCAGCGTCTCGGCGTCGTATAAGGCCGGCTCCAAGCACATTGTGTTGTTCGCGCTGCTGCATTCGTAGCAACGGATCGATGTTACTGACAATCACAGATAATTAAATTTAAAAAAAGATGTTTTTTTTTCTGTCAATGTGTAGTCCTATTATTCTCTTTATTTTAGCTAGGGCAATTACCTTCTTGCGGTGCCATTGTTGCCAGTTGCGAGCTTAAAATGTTTGGTCTATCCATAGAGTTAGTATTACTTATTAACTCCATGGGTCTATCTCATAGTAACTGTGATGGTTACCGGTGACCATAGATGTACTAACACAGCTACATTAGGACATGAAACGAATTCCACATTGTGTTACAAGAATTTTTCATTAAACAATATTAAGTTCGTTTTTTTTTTCATACCTAAGCTGATAGATAGCCTTGAGAGGCTATATCAGCGGAACCTTAACTAGTAGATGAGCTCACGGGGCTCAAACCTGACGACGTTGCTAACACGAACCCTAGCAAGAGCCGTGCTTCGCAGAATCTACCACCGGATCGGAAACGCGACCCACTGAGAAGATCCGGCGAGAAACTCAGTGGGTTCTTGTCTGAGGGTTAATTTACTCGTCGAGGCCTTCGTCGCAAGCGACGGGTTCGACGAGAACGATGACCGGAAATGACATAGGTACATAGGACATCGTAGCGTGAGCAGAAAATATTATTACGGTTTGATATTTAAGCGTACCCGACATAAAACCACCGAGTTTGCCTAGTGAACAAAACTTAATTTTTTTAAACACAAACCAGAACTAATTTCCTATTTCAACGCGATTGGAATCGAAGTGAAGAAATTACGAATTAAATTTAAATATTTAAAATACATTGTGGATTACGAATTTAAGATCGCCAAGTATTATTTGCACTTTTGACATTGAATAATGCTTAGTGACAAGATAAAGAAAAGCAGACATACCCAGCTTCATATGAAACGATAACAAAAACAAAATAGCTCCATATTTCGATAACATCTTATGTTTATTTTGAGTCCGAACCAATTTTATTTGTAATGAATCGAATTAGGTATTAAGGTCAGGATTCCTTGACCAAAAAAGAAACAAAAGTTTATAATTTCAAAATATCGAAAGAACGCGGGAAATTTTAAGCATGTATCAATATTTTGTGTGTATTATTTTGATTTGATTTTAAGTCGTCAAACGTATTAATATTTACAGAGCAAAATGCAACAGCCATGTGATTGGAGTGATTATTATGGAACGCTGTGTAGTAACGCGAGCCGACCGTATTATTCTGTAAACTGTGAAAATTTAGATCACGGGCGCCCAAATAGATTAGTTATAGTTATTTGTTGAAATGTTCGGTCAAGCGTGAATAACATACTTGAACAATTTTGTTCGACGGTTTTTAGGGTTCCGTAACTAAACCCAAAAGTCGTATATTTTTTTCAGTCCGTCTATCACATTCTACTCGGAGCAAATCAGCATCATCACTACATAGTATAAAACAAAGTCGCTTTCTCTGTCCTTATATCCCTAATGCTTAAATCTTTAAAACTACGCAACGGATTTTGATTCGGTTTTTTTTAATAGATAGAGTGATTGAAGAGGAAGATTTATATGTATAACTCTATGAATAAATACTGAGTATATATTCGTAGGTATAACTAGCTTCGCCCCGCGGTGTCGTCCGCGATACGACAATAACCGCGAGTAACATCGCGAAACTCGGCTATCAATAATAAAATTTGATGTTTCCGAAGCGAAGCGAGGGCGGGTCGTTAGTCATTTATATAGTATTTTAAGGGGACTATCTATTCTGCTACAGTGCTACAAGAGGACTCAAAATTATAAAGAAATAACTCCATACATCGAACAGCGTATAAATTGAAATGCATTTTTTTTAAATATCCTTTAATGAAAATCGTCTTGGATTATTTTTCTAAGTTACTTAGGTGTTGATATATAGGTTAGGTAAGTGTTTTTATTATTTTGCTAACGTAATGTCAGCAGTGTTCTTACGTATGCCTACGTTTGCCGCTATGGGCACTGTTCCAACTCCATACTACGCGTTCGAGATGTTAATAAGCTCGTACTGAGCACACTGAAGTTAAATTGTATCTCGTTTATCTTCAGTGGAGCACGCTGGGGGAACTAATCAGTTATACTATATTTATTGTATGGGCCTGGTAGGAGAGCGTCGGTGAACCAGTACGGGTAGAAACTTATGGTAAACCGTAAAAGTATTTTTAATTAATATAAAATGACCTAATATTATATACCTTTTTCTGGTGGTAGGACCTCTTGTGAGTCCGCACGGGTAGGTACCATCACCCTGTCTATTTCAGCCGTGAAGCAGTAATGCGTTTCGGTTTGAAAGGGGGGGCAGCCGTTGTAACTATACTTGAGACCTTAGAACTTATATCTCGAGGTGGGTGGCGCATTTACGTTGTAGATGTTTATGGGCTCCAGTAACCATTTAACATCAGGTGTGAGCTCATTCACCCATCTAAGCAATAAAAAAAAACCTAACGATAATTAATATAAATAACCTAACCTCACCAAATATCTTGCTGTGTGAAGTACAATTTTTAATGAACGCGATTTTCCCATCTCTTCGCGACATGCTCTCTTACTGTGCAGGCCTTCGTTATTTTTATCGGTATTATTATGAACGGTATTTTTGGGTACATTTAGGTACTGTTTAGTTTTTATTTTAAAAGTGTATAAATCGTATTTCTAGCTGGCGTCCCACCGATCAAGCTGGAAGGCAATAGGTACTACTTAGGTACGAAAATAAACAAGAAGTTGGTAAATACTGGTGGTATATCTATACTAATATATAAATCTACAGTGGTTTTTTACGGATGTTCCGTTATAACTACTGAACCATGCATCCGATTGACTTGAAACTTGGTATCCATGTAGAAAATACATGTAATGAATGCATACTAATAGGCTAATATTTATATGAGTGTTGGACTCCCTAATAATAATGAAAATAAAGAATAATGTTAATTTTAAATACCCTGCGAAGCGGGCCGGGCGAGCGTGGCTAGTACTTTATAAATACATGTATAATTACGCAAAAAAAAATTTTTTATATTTTATTTTTATTACTTGATACTATTTGTCCGCCGTGAGACTCGTTCCTGAACACTTGATAAGCTTCTACGCATAATAGAGATAGAAAGAAATTAGAAAAAAAAAGATTTGCTCGCAGGATACGAACACTGTTACAGTGGTATCGTTTGATACGAGTAAGCTGGGCATCTTAACCTATAGGCCACGGTGACTTCGAAATTTCGGTATTTAGATCTTACAATAAAAATGGTAAATTTAAATTTCGTTGTAATTTTGAAATATAAAAAAAAAACATAAAGTGTTAAACTTGAGTACGGAACCGTTGTCTGTGGACCAGCTATCTGCCACTATGACAAAGAGTACGCCATTGTACAATGGAGGATCAATTTGAGCGCTTATCCACAGTTACTAATGTGTAAAAAATATATTTCCCCTGAGAGTTCTTTATTCTGATTTTGAAAAACATAACATTATGCTGTGGAATTGGTGCTACAGTTTAGTTAGTTGATAATGGCTCGAACAAGCCAGAGGTATGGCCTCAACACAGAAATAATATCAAGATTATTTCTGTGGGCCTCAATCGATTATCCCTGTGCTATGGCCGGTTAAACAAATCGATTTGACAACGCACAAAAATTCGTCTATTCGAATTCCACTAGTAACATTTTACACCTATATCAATTCCTACCACGCTAATATAACCGTGAAAAAACATTAATTACTAATTCCTCTCATTTCTATTAATAAGCAGCGAAACCACTTTTGGCTTACTTTAACTATACATTAAAACACAAATTGTAGAAAACAAGCTTTATTCAATACAATAAATCGATTTAAATCACATTACGTTCCCGCCAATTTCGACAAACAGTCAATATGGCGACGGTAGCTGTCAAAAACGCAACTTTGACGTTTGTTATTGTGGACGCGGAATTGCACATATCACCGAAGCATTGGCACACGGTCTCTAAATGGTCTTTATTGTCTGCCGTATAACATGCCCGCTTGTGTTTGATCCAGCCGCAACTTCTTGTTATTCGGACCTCTGGCGTTTGTTCTGGGTGGAGAACTGCAGTAAACATTGAGACAGAATTAGAAACACTTATGTTTAAATCTATTATATTTAAATCGGCTTAAAATAAAAACTATACTATACAACTACTAATGACGATTGCATGCAGCAGAGGTGCGAATGTTGCGATGGATGTGTGAAGTAACGAGAATGGATAGAATATGGAATGAATATGTTAGAGGAAGTCTGAAAGTGGCACCTGTGACAGAAAAGCTGAGAAGTGCGCGTTTGGGATGGTATGGACATGTGATGGGACGAAATTAAAATGAGGTTGATAAGAGAGTGTTAACTATTAATGTGGAAGGATATAGAGGAAGAGGTAGACCTGAGAGGAAATGGATGGATTGCGTGAAAGACGATATGTGTAAGAGGGGAGTGAGCGAAGAAATGGTATATGATAGAAGAGTATGGAAGGAGAAAACATGTTGCGCCGACCCCAGGTAACTGGGAGAAGGGCAGGATAATGATAACTATACTACTACTAACTATAACCAGTGTGCTTAGTGCGAGTTTTTTAACGTTCTCGATAGCGTAAAAGTTACTCAAATTAGTATGCAGTTGGAACAGCGTCCCTAAAGGCAAACCTAGGCAAACTTTCCGACTTCATACAAATTTAACTTTTACGCTATCGAAAACGATAAAAAACTCGCACTGAGCACACTGATCCTTTATTAAGTCGTATTTGCAGTCTGCCATGGCCAAAAAACTATGAATCTCTTCAAAGCTTTTATAAAAGTAAGGCTTTATTAAAAAAAAAAATAAGTTAATGTGTAGGTTAATGTACGATAATTTTAATATCAGAATAGGGACGCGTCAATGTTCTGTGCTTATGATCGGCACGTCATTAAATATAATTAAACAGATGTGTGTAAAACGCGACACGACCTGCCATTACATCCTTTCAGTCGCGGGCACAATGAAACCTAAACGGAAGTCTATTGTCCAGAAACAGAGTAACAGAACACGATGCCGGTGTGTATAATGACAGGTTTTTTAGAAACATCAATATCTGTTAGTAAAGTTAAAATAAAAAAAAATAGATCTTCGTTGGACTGTATCAATGACATGGACGATACCCATTGACAACGGTAACCAATTCTCTACAGACCCAGCGGTAGACACCTTCGACGATAATTACTTACTGGTGGTAGGACCTCTTGTGAGTTCGCACGGGTAGGTACCACCTCCCTACCTATTTCAGCCGTGAAGCAGTAATGCGTTTCGGTTTGAAGGGTGGGGCAGCCGTTGTAACTGTACTGAGACCTTAGAACTTATATCTCAAGGTGCGTGGCGCATTTACGTTGTAGATGTTTATGGGCTCCAGTAACCATTTAACACCAGGTGGGCTGTGAGCTCGTCCACTCATCTAAGCAATAAAAAAAATATAAAAAAAATAGAGATATTAAAGCATACTTTTTTTCCTACCTAAGCTGATAGCCTTGAGAGGCTATGTCAGCGTTACCTAATAAGTAGGTGAGCTCGCGGGGCTCAAACCAGCCGACGTTGCTAACACTAACACTAGCAAGAGCGGTGCTTCGCAGAATCTACTAGCGGATTGAAAACGTGACCCACTGAGAAGATCCGGCGAGAAACTCAGTGGGCTGTAGCCGTTCTCGAGTTTTAGCGAGACTAACGAACAGCAACTCATTTTAGCGTATGGAACTTATCCCTGATTATTTATTTATTCAGGTTCTCATGTTTACGGGCTCGAAATAGCTAAAAATGTGCTGAAATTTAAAAGATAGTGTGAAATAAATTAACGTTTATATATATATATACGACAAACACTTCTAAAACGTACATTGTACTGTTATCGACGGATGTGCTCTGTAAATAAAGGTGATTAAATTATAAATTCCTGGCATTAACACTAAAAACATTCGAGATTGAAAAAGGGACTTATTATTAAGCGACTCAAAGAATAAATTCGGATGACGCGTGGGATTAAAAGAACACGTACCGTCTGTGAGGTTAATTTGCTCGCCGAGCCCTTCGTCGTAAGCGACGGGTTCGACCAGAATTAAAAGCAGTATAATGATATAATGATAAGGATAATGATGACTATACTACTACTAACTATAATCAGTGTGCTTAGTGCGAGTTTTTTAACGTTCTCGATAGCGTAAAAGGTAACTCAAATTTGTATTCAGTTAGAACAGCGCCCCTAGCGGCAAACGTACGCAAACAAATTCAACTCCATACAAATTTGAATTAACGTATACGCTATCGAGAACGTTAAAAAACTCGCACTAAGCACACAGCATTGTTGTTTAATTAGAAAAACCTTTGACTTACTTGTCTGCGTGATCTTCCGGCAAAAGAATTGCTTGCTCAACACGTGAGGCAAGGTCTTCCCGCAGTCCACGACAGGGACGATGGAGTGCATCCTGGGAAGGTTCAGATCCAGACAGGCGGAATTATTGGCGCTATTGCACTCGAAGCATTTAACGGCCGCGCCTGAATAAAACGAATAGTAATAATCATTGTTATGATAACAAAAACATTAGAGAGTTATTGATTAACAAGTTTTCTGACGTTTTTGTAATGTAACATGTAAAATATAGACCGCGTCCATAGATAATCAAAATGAGTTGTTTTTCTTTTAGAAAAAAAACGAAGTATTTCATATAATGCAATTTTAGATAAGAAAGAAAATTATTGCTCTGTGTTTTCTAAAAGGGTAATTATAATTCGAATAGTTTACAAAATTAAAAAAATTCAAGAAATACCATGATGCTAATTCAAAAACAAAGAGCTGAATATAAACTTTGACATCGTTCGATAATGATACATTCGCCGCTTATTTAAACTGATTTCTTGACTATATTATAATTATATCAAGGACAATGTGACGTATTAGTTTAATAAAAAGCATTCTTGTGCGACGTAAAAAAACATTTTTTAGCTGTACTTAGACATAATACAAACAAAATTAATACTTGCTTCTGTGAGTAAGTAGGAGTAGAACAAAACCGACGATAATACATGATACAAATCGGAACTCCATATTGTAACGCCTGAAGTATATTCCTGAGCAACGTATCAAAAGACAATAATGATATTCTAATATATAAAAAAAAACAGTTTTCCTACAAAAATTTATAACACAAAGGTTTTTTTTACTAAGTAAGAAAAGAAAAAATGGTTTAACAACACTTAAATTCACCGGCAGACTGTCGGATTAGTTGTTGAGTCGTGCCGTATATAGCAAAATGAAGCATTGTGTATTGTGTGTGACTCCAACAATGGGGTCAACCGGCTCACTTCGGTAACAGTCGGATGCTCGAAGGAAGTGTTAATAACGTTTAGAGTTGATGAGACCCGGCGGCAGCTAGGCTTAACTACTTGAAGGAACAAAATTCCCTTCAACGTACAACGCAGTACTTACGTGCTTTGAATTTTTAAATTTACTGGTGGTAGGACCTCTTGTGAGTCCGCGCGGATAGGTACCACCACGCTGCCTATTTCTGCCGTGATGCGTTTCGGTTTGAAGAGTCGGGCAGCCGTTGTAACTATATAGAGACCTTAGAACTGATTGATACCTCGAGGTGGGTGGCGCATTTACGTCGTAGATGTCTATGGGCTCCAGTAACCTTAGTTAGGTTACTGGAGCCCATGGAAATGGATGGAGCAGTAAAAAAAATGATATAAGTCATCACTGTTTCGTAAAAAAAATATTTAAATAAAACTCACGGAGCATTGATCTTCTTTTTTTTTAAATGAAGCATCACTGGTGGCACGGAGATCTTTCCAGTTTCACTAAGACAGGTGGACGAGCAAAGGCTTAGCCAGGATGGAAGGGATTTGCTAACATCTGCCCGAGCGCCTCCGAAGGAGACATAACAGCTCAAGAGCAATTGCTTCGCGAATGAATCTACTATCGGAATCGAGACCCGCTGAGAAGATCCGGCGAGAAACTCAGCGGGCTATATGGATACTTTTCTTTCTTTAAAACGCCGACATAATATACATGTTGAATGCGATAATTCTTTTCTAGCAAGCAGCTCGTCTGCCGCCTATCCTTCTTATATTGGGAATGTTTGAGTGAGGACTTGTAGTCAGGAATCAGTGGGAGGATTAAATTAGAAAACGAGGCTAGGATACCGCTGACGTAAGATCGTGATGAAGTAGTCAACCTCAGATCAACGACACGTCAGATTATTTGAATATTAACTTCACTATTAAAATATTATAAACTAGCTGACCCGGCAGACATCGTAGTGCCTCAATCGATAAATAAAAGACCAAAAGTTTTGTACAAAATAAACATAAAATAAACAAAAGGAATCCGTACGACGGGGGGGGGAACCATCAAAGGAAAAACAAAATTGTTATTTTAATTTATTTCCGAGCATTTTCATATTTATCTACCTTTTAAACCTTCTCTGGTGTTCCACAAATAATTCAAGTCCAAACTTAGACAAATCGGTTCAGCCGTTCTCGAATTTTAGCGAGTCATCTTTAGTCATATCTCAGGCTGGGTAGTGGTATGCACCTTGCCGTATCATTTCATTGGTGGTAGGTCCTCTTGTGAGTCCGCACGTGTAGGTAACACCGCCTTGCTTATTTCAGCCGTAAAGCAGTAATGCGTTTGAATTGTAGGGCAGCCGTTGTAACTATACTGAGACCTTAGAACTCATGTCTCAAGGTGGGTGGTGGCATTTACGTTGTACATGTCCATGGACTCCAGGAAGCACTTAACACCAGATGGGCTGTGAGCAAGTCCACCCATCTAAGCAATATAAAAATCATGGCACTCCACTAGCCAATCAGCACCAGGCGGGACGTAAGTTCTATCTATGCGAGCTTAACGATTCTCTTCTATAATTACTACTCTCACATCGCCTAACCTTTAGTATTGGACACTGTAAGTGATTATTGCCTTTTTCCATTTTAACTAATGGAGTCGGAACGTTTGCCTGCGTTTGCCGCTAGGGGCGCTGTTCCAACTGCATACAAATTTGATTGAACTTTTACGCTATCGATAACGTCAAAAAACTCGCACTAAGCATATTTATGAACGCTCAAGAAAAATGAGATATAATCTGACTTTTGTTTACATTACGTTTTCGTTACGAGGTTACGTATAATGACGTCACAGTGTCAGTATTTTTAGATTTTATGAATATTTTCTATGTAGTAAGTGCCTTGTGAATATTTGAATAAAGTATGAACGAAAAAACTACCGTAGTTTAGTACAATCCTTGTTTTAGAGTTGAAACGCGAAAAGATTGGCCGGGGAGAAACAAAATAGTAAATTCAACAGCAGTATGTAGTACACTCTATTTCATTTTGAGCTTTGTTACAAATAAATAGTAATCAAAATGGAAATTTGAGCGAAGTCTAACGTTAGTCAGAGGATTGGACATTTTAAATATCCCTGAGAATAAATAAATAATAGTTTTTAATTAATTTTGCAATAAAATCGTTTTTTCTTCAACTATATATATTTTTTTAATTTATTAAAATTAATTTTCAATTTTTTTTTGGATTTTCTGTAAAAGCGTATTTTGTTAGTTTTTTTAAACTATTATTTATTAGTTGAATTTCGATATTTTTATTTTCAATTTTTTTTATTAAAGGTATAATTATCATCGGTCCTCATTAAGTATACCGAGTTAATCCGACGTTTTGAAGGGGATCAAAATCATGTTGAAAGATTCCGTTACAAACATACATAATACGTCTGAAGCTAATGAAAGCGTATTAAAAAAACGTATTGCGGTCTCTATGAACATTAGCTGCAGCTCATTAAAGTTTAATTGGTCGACCCAACCCGAGAGTTTTCGTTACGCATTGAAAATATGCGTGGTACATTATTATGTTTCCCAATAACCAATTTTATTGCTTAGGTGGGTCGTCGATCTCACCGACAGCCTGATGTTAAGTGGTTATCGGAGCCCATAGACATCTGCAACGTAAATACGGCCATCCACCTCGAGACGTGAGTTCTAAGGTCTGAGTTTTTACAGTTTTTTTCCCCTATCTAAGCTGATAGCCTTGAGAGGCTATTTCAGCGGAACCTTAACTAGTAGGTGAGCTCACGGGGCTCAAACCTGACGAAGTTGCTAACACGAACCCTAGCAAAAGCCGTGCTTCGCAGAATCTACCACCGGATCGGAAACGCGACCCACTGAGAAGATCCGGCGAGAAACTCAGTGGGCTGTGTCTGAGGGTTACAGTACAACCGCTACCCCACCCTCCAAATAGAAGCGCATTGCTGCTTCACGGCAGAAATAGGCAGGGCGGAGGTACCTGCACGTGCGGACTCACAAGGCGTCCTACCGCCAGTATGGAAAAAGCAAAAACGATCTCCGTTATAGATTAACCGCATAGGTAGAATGGACCCTTTTCTCTGTCAACAATTTGGATGGTCCTAAAAACCTATTAGATTTTTGTTTCAAGGACTGATATTTTTTACAACTCAGATTAATGTTTATCTAATATATAAAATTCTCGTGTCACAGTTTTCGTTGCCATACTCCTCCGAAACGGCTTGACCGATTTTGATGAAATTTTTTGTGCTTATCCAGTATCTATGAGAATCGGCCAACATCTACTTTTCATCCCCCTAAATGTTAGGGGTAGTCCACCCCTAAATTTTTTATTTTATTTTTTAGACAAAATTTTTAATTTCTATTTTTTTATGATACAACATACAAAAATACATACAACCCTAAATTTTCATCCCTCTATGATCAACCCTTATTTTTTATTAGCTAATTAAAAACTTTAAATTTTTTTGCGAGAATTTTGTTTTTATTTTGTCATGACGTAGAATAAAAAAAATTCATATTACTCTGAAATTTTCACCCCTCTAAGATCTACCCCTATTTTTTATTTGTTAATTATAAACTTTAATTTTTTTGGCAAGTTTTTTATTTTGTTTTGTCATGACTTAAAATAAAAATAATCATATTACTCTCAATTTTCACTCTTATACGATCAACCCCTATTTTTCCATCCCGATTAATATTTTTTTTATTCTATGCACAGATCCGCAATAAGGTTGCAAGATGGCAATCAAATATTATAATTGTAGGACGATAAATTCTTATTCAGAGTTTATAATTTCAAGTTCCTTTAATTATGTTTTTTTTCAAATTGAATTTGATCTCCCGCCCGCGCCGGTCGACTACGGATCAACTATCAATCGATCAGTTATCTGCGCCAGGTGTCACCTCTTATCCAGCAAATATCACGTAGTAGGGATGAGGACAAAGCCGGTCTCCTGTCCTACTCACTATACATTTTTCAGCCATGTTTTTTGGTTTTATTTGTGTATCAATAGTATGTTTAGTAGGTCTGAGAATCGGCTACTATCTATTTTTCATACCCCTAAGTGAAAAGGGTTGTCCACCCCAAACATTTATTTTTTGTTTAATTTTTTTGGATATATATTTTTTTATATAATGAGGTATTATGTGGTTAAATGAGGGTTTTTTTTCTAGAGTAGAATTTCCCTAGAAATCTTATTTAAGGCAACACAACGTTTGCCGGGTCAGCTAGTACATAAATAAATATTACATAAGAGAGTAGCAAGTACATTAAATTACTACAGTGTGACAGGAGGTGAGAAGGGGCCTAAGCGGAAACCGTAGGATCACTCAATTGAGAACGTTAGCAATCATGATAGTGGTGGACACGTACGTATGCGAACAGGCGAATTTGGGTTACGAGACCACTCGTTTCAGGTCAATAGTCGGCCACTTTTAGATTATCTAGACGTAATCTGAAACGCTTATATGACTACAACACGGTACATCTGCTATTAAACACATAATAGGAGAAGCACCTTAGGATAATGGGTATTTATGATATTAAACATTTTGTCTCCAGGCTATACAATATCTAATGGCACCATTTTACTGGTGGTAGGACCTCTTGTGAGTCCGCACGGGTAGGTACCACCACTCTGCCTATTTCTGCCGTGAAGCAGTAATACGTTTCGGCTTGAAGGGTGAGGCAGCCGTTGTAACTATACTGAGACCTTAGAACTTATATCTCAAGATAGGTGGCGCATTTGCGTTATATATGTATATGGGCTCCAGTAACCATTTAACACCAGGTGGGCTGTGAGCTCGTCCATCCATGTAAGCAATAAAAAAAAAACCTAATTTAAACCAAATATTTTGGATTTAGTACCGATCTTCAAGCATAAGTCTCTTAGCGGGCGGCGGCATCAAAGTTGTTTTTTTATAATCACCAGTGAACAAGCACTTTTGGCTACCCCAAGTTAGGCCCAAGACTTTGAGACCCTTAGGACTTCTTGGTTCCGAATGTACAATACTGTTATACTGGTCCTACCACCAATTGAAAAATTAAGTATTTTATTCACTCGAGTCTTTTGAGACGAGTCAATTTATCCTGCGTGTGTACGCGGGAAGTAGTGATTGCCTCACCGGTGTTCAGCGGTGTGGGCGGACACGACTCATCACACACGACTAGATATTACTAACATCACCAATCTAAGGGACCCTAATGATCGACTTCCTTATGATAAATCTTTTTGAATAAAACGAGTTTGACGAAAAACGAAACTACTCAAGTCCCATATATTTTTCTTCTATTTATCTCGTAGTTGTGGCTACCAGTAGAGAGGCTATGCTAAGGGGGGAAACATTGGGTTCTCCCCTTATACGACCTATTTATTTATTAGATTAAGTTATAATTGTTTGACATTGTATTAGTTTTAAATCAGGGTTTTGATAATCTACTATATAGGTACCTACTCTGGGATTAACTCTTCTTCGCAGTGTTTTCCATGTAAAATACAATTTTATTTTTCAGAGAGCGAAGGGGGAAGTTGCGTTAGAGACAGCTCCTTAACTGTGGCCCTGGCATTGCCAGTGTCCAAGAATGACGGAGACCACTTAAATTCTTCAAAAATGGTCTGAACTAACTCTGTTCATTTTACGGTTAAAACTGATAATGGAACTTGGAATTGGAATGGTAAATTGGTGCGAGGAAGCCTTGATCTCCAAGGAAAGACGACTGTGCGCTTCATATCACTACATAGTATAAAACAAAGTCGCTTTCTCTGTCCCTATATTTGTCTGTCCCTATGTATGCTTAAATCTTTAAAACTACGCAACGGATTTTGATGTGTTTTTTTTTAATAGATAGAGTGATTGAATATGAAGATTTATATGTATAATAACATCCATTAAATAGTAGAGAAATCAATAATAAATTACAGTTTCCGGAGCGAAGCGAGGGCGGGTCGCTAGTTTAAGAATAAGCCTCTATAATCGGCACAGGAAAGATTTAGTGGAAATTTATGATGAATTTATCAAGAAAATGTGTTCGCATACGAGGGGCCCGAAGGTCATACTCATTACTACCTACTTCTAGCTCAGCGGGTGCATCAACATCGCGATGATGGTCGACAGAGTGGTCGAAGTCGCTGACGATCGCTCCTCAGACCTCTCGTGGGGCGGTACAATTAATTTGCTTACCAGTACCAACCGCCCCTCTTTCTTACCTTTCCGAACTCTAGCAATTTTTTTAGTATCATGGAACATGAGCAGTTTAACTGATGTCCAGTATGATGTAGCAGTAGTCGCCAAACTCTAACAGTTGATCCACTCTTCATTGATACTTTGCTTTGGCTATTGCTATCAACGTTGAAATAAGCTACCGGAGGAAACTGGTAAACAGTCGCTAGTTGATTGTACGATTGTAAAACGAGAATTCAAATTGCAGACATGTGTTTACAGTCACAGAACTAATCGAGAGAAAGAGTACATAGACAAGAGGTTTCAAGGCCCGGACACGCAGGCAAGATCAGACAAGCACCAAAACACCATAAATCCTCTTAATTGAGCTTAATACTGCAGCGGACAGGCCCTTTTTACCCTAAGCCTAAGAGGCTACTAAGCTATTCCAGCTACGTTGTCACTGGTAGGTAAGCTCACGAACTCAACCTGAAATAATTTGCCAAGACTAGTTCTAGCAAGAGCAGTACTTCGCAGAATCTACCAGAGGTTAGTAGAAACTCAGTGGGCTGTGTCTGTTTGGGTCGCAACAAGCGCTCGCTAGAAGATACATAGAGTTCACATCACGACCTTTAGAAGAAATGGAAGAAATATCTATGTATATAAAAATGAATTGCTGTTGATTAGTCTCGCTAAAACTCGAGAACGGCTGGACCGATTTGGCTAATTTTGATCTTGAATTATTTGTGGAAGTCCAGAGAAGGTTTAAAAGGTAGATAAATATGAAAATGCTCGGAATTAAATAAAAATAACAATTTTGTTTTTACTCTGATGTGTCGCCCGTCGGACGGATTCCTTTTGTTTGTTATAAGTTTATTTTATACAAAAGTTTAGGTCTTTTGTTTATCGATTGAGGTACTACGAAGTCTGCCGGGTCAGCTAGTTACGTAATAAATTCCAATAGCGTATGGCACCGAGGTTTCTATCAATTGCTTTAAATCATTTATGTCACGTGCAATATCCTTTGGATCTCAGTCAATTTATTGAATGCTAGATCAATTGAATAAGTGTCGTTGCGAGCGTGTCGTCCTGGACGTCGAACAGTGTGCCGATGCGGTCGTCGTGAGTTGGTTGCGTTTTCGGTTCGCAGCGGGGAAAACCGGTATTATCTCGACAATGAATAAAATGGCGTACTTTTTCGTTTTCGCGGCTTTGTGCGGTTTTGTGGAGCAAGGTTCGTTTGTATTGTTTTTATGTTTGGAATTTGTTTAAAGTGATAATTTGCCGTAATAAAAAAATAAAAAAATTTAGGACGATCCGTAATCTATTACTAATCTATTAGGGACATTAACTCTCTTAAAATATAAAAAAATAACGAATAACTTATAGGCTAATTACTTTTCCGAAACATACATTTTAACTAATTATAATAATATAATATACTAACTTTGATTTATTTGTTGTGTTTCATTAGACCATGTAAAATTGGGTCTTCTAAAATTACGCCAAAATATGCACAGAAATGTTATAAATCGTATAGGTACATACCTACATATATTGAAAAATTTACAATGTAAGAATCCAACCCAGTTATGACCACAGATAAAATATCATTCTCCCGCCTTTTTTTCTCTCAAATCTACGACTTAGCTCTTTTTATATTTTTATTGCCCATAGATCTATGTAGGTCGACTCTAAAAGCAATTTCTTCCTAAACAAGCGGCTTCCAGCTTTATTTTTGAGGTTGGCGCCAGAACACACGTTGCCATGCGGATTTCAGCTGTCAAAATGTTTTGTTTTTTTTCGCTTTGGCAATAATTGCAGTTAATGAAATTTATGTTAATCGAAATTAAATAATCAGTTAATGAATTTAGTAATCATATTATTTTTATTCGCTGATATATTTTTATTTACATCACCAAAAAAATTTTTCATTTCATATCAAATGTTTAAATTAATGAGTTTGCAGTTTATCGATGTTAGGTATGATCCGCTGAAAACTACCTTCAAAGGTTAGGTAGTATTTGATATTAGTTAGCTGATAGAAAATATACAACAGTAATAATAAAATAGAGAGGGATGTCTCAGTGCTCTATTGAAGTTCTATTTCTAGAAATCTTGATGATCTGAAGGCTAGGGATCTGAAGAAACAGTATTATGCAATACAACCGGGTTGTCGACACTTAAGTCTCAAGGCAGTTGTAGTTGTCTATGGGCTCCAATATAAACTCAACACTAGGCAGGCCGTGACATCGCTCACCCACTTACGCTGGGTGGAGGGAGAATTTGAAATTTTAAAACCATACTTAGAACTAGAACTATTCTTAAAACTGGTGGGTAGGTACCATCCTGCTTACTTCTGCCGCGAAGTAGTAATGTTGGCTTGAAGTAGTAATGTCGGTCTGTTAGATTTATTAAAGCTGAGACATAGAATCCATGGCTCATGGTCTATATTGTTAAATCAGGAGAAGTTGTTGGAAAAACAAAAAAACTAAAAGACGGACTCGCCCAACATTTATGTGGTCAAGAGCGAATCCTCAAATTATCCCATTACTTGTAGTACTTACCTACCACAAGATTCACAATTAGGACCTTAATCAATATCTTCGTGAATAAATGTACCTACCTCCTAAAATAATTATCAATTCGGTTCAAATCATGGTCGTGGATGATGTGAAAATACTTTAACAGCTTAATTACAAAGCGAGCTTAATAAGCCTCGTCCGTATCTCCCATGCAGTTAAGAAAAATCTAGACTCCTCTGTTGGTAACATTAATTTGATTTAATGTCCGTTTAGTAATTAGCGGCGACCGCGATAAGGGGGTTATCGTGTCGCGCCGCTTTGTCGAACGTTTCTTTCCATATAATTTCACAAATTCTTACAGTAACTTACAAAACCGAATAAATTTGAAACTGGACAGATCCACTCAATTTATATTTGAAGTGTTTACATTGGTAAACTCCTGGACACAGCCCACTAAGTTTCTCACCGGTTGCGGTTCTCGCCGGATCTTCTCAGAGGGTCGCGATTCCGATCCGGTGGTACATTCTGCGAAGCACTGCTCTTGCTAGGGCTGGTGTTAGTAAATTCTCTCAGGTTGAGCCAGTAAGCTTACTTACCTGTAACAAGTAACGAAGATACTTAAAGAATGTGTGATGGTCGATTCTCAGTAACGCAGGCGTTTTGATTATTTTAATATTTTTGTTGTGATTTCATCAAATATATCGAGCGGTGAAAGGCTATTTGGTTAAAGCGACCCTTTTGCAGTTTTACAAGTGAGCCATTTAAAGTTTAAAATTTGGAAAAAAAACATCGTAATAATAAAAAACTTCTTTAGGTATTTCAATGGAGTAAACTTAATTGAAGTTCAACTGAAAAAAACATCGAACTGTTGATGCTGATACCTAAATAAAACGGACCTTTAATTACAAAGATACATGTCGCGTGTTAAGCTAAATGTCGCTTAAACTAAATAGCCTTTCACTCCTCGATATGGATGAACGACCCAAATGATGTTCAAATCAAATGAAAAAAAATTAAAAAAATCAACACTAGCTGACCCGACTGACTTCGTTGTGCCTCAATCGATAAATAAAAGACCTAAACTTTTGTATAAAATAAACTTAAAACAAATAAATAATAAAAGGAATCCGTCCGACGGAGGACACATCAAAGGAAAAACGAAATGTTATTTTTATTTAATTCCGAGCATTTTCATATTTATTTACCTTTTAAACGTTCTCTGGACTTCCACAAGTAATTCAAGACCAAAATTAGCCAAATCGGTCCAGCCGTTCTCGAGTTTTAGCGAGACTCATCGGCGACTCCAGATCGCAGTAGCCACCATGGGATAGTGGTTCCGGAAGTGGCGAATCGACATCAACCCCACGAAAAGCACAGCGGTGCTCTTCAAAAGGGTTCGCCCTCCGAACACCACTTCGAGCATCCCACTCCTTAATAGGCGCGCAAACACCTCCACCGTTAGCCCCATCACTCTCTTTGGCCAGCCCATACCGTGGGCCTCGAAAGTCAAATATCTAGGTGTCACCCTCGACAGAGGGATGACATTCCGTCCCCACATAAAAACGGTACGCGACCGCGCCGCGTTTATACTAGGACGACTTTACCCAATGCTTTGTAGTCGAAGCAAAATGTTCCTCCGTAATAAGGTAACTCTCTACAAAACTTGTATACGCCCCGTCATGACGTATGCAAGCGTAGTATTCGCTCACGTAGTCCGCACCCACTTGAAATCACTTCAGGTTATTCAATCCCGATTCTACAGGATAGCCGTCGGAGCACCATGGTTCCTGAGGAACGTGGATCTCCACGATGACCTGGAGCTCGATTCAGTTAGTAAGTATCTGCGGCGGCATCGCTGCGTCATTTTGAGAAGGCGGCACGACATGAGAACCCTCTCATCGTAGCCGCTGGAAACTACATACCCGACCCAGTAGATCGAATGGTAAACCGTCGACGTCGCCCAAAGCACGTCATTACGGATCCTCCTGATTCATTAACGCTGCTTTTAGGCACCACAAGCACCGGTCACCGTCCTCGTCGAACCCGTCGCTTGCGACGAAGGGCTCGATGAGCGAACTAACCCATAGATACAGCCCACTGACTTTCTCGCCGGATCTTCTCAGTGGGTCGCGTTTCCGATCCGGTGGTAGATTCTGCGAAGCACTCCTCTTGCTAGGGTCAGTGTTAGCAACTCTCCGGTTGAGCCCCGTGAGCTCACCTAGAAACGTTAGGGCGAAGCTGAAATAGCCTCTCAAGGCTATCAGCATAGGTAGGAAAAAAAAAAAGCGAGACCTACGAACAGCAATTAATTTATATATATATATAGATAAATAGATAAATGAAAGTACATACTTGTTGAACGTCAAAAAGAACTACCGCCAATTCACAAAAACTAGCCTCCGTCCTGAGAAGAACTGGTAAGAAACTCAGGCGGCATGTCTTTTTTTTTTAATATTAGATTATTTTTTTTCAGTTCAGTTCCGTGGTGATTTTTTTTTTTTCTTAACGTTGTGGAATCCGTTTACGGATACTCCGTCAAGGGTTTTAACAGACCGGGTTATGTCGGACTCCGGTGCCTCCAGAGACGAAGAGGGAGAAGAGGAAGACCGAAGTCCTCCTTTTCTTCCGATTCCTACTCACACAGGCTCACTCACCCTACCGACCGGAAAGCATGACTGCCTCATGGCTAAGATGCTAATACCTATCTAAGACCAGTGCAGAGTGCTTTTAAGTGTATACTGATAGAAAAGTTTGTTTTTTCTGCAAGATGAGTACGAGATGCGTTTCGGTTTGAAGGGCGGGGCAGCCGTTGTAATGTACTGTTGAAAGTGAGACCTTAGAACTCATGGCTCAAGATGGCTGGCGGCATTTACGTTGTAGATGTCTATAGACTCTGGTAAACACTTAAAACCAGGTGTACCGTGAGCTCGTCCAACCTTCTAAGCAATAAAAATAAATACATTGTTGATATTATTTACTTCTCTACAATGGTCAACAATGTTTAGCTCCTGAATCAGTCAACGGAAATTCCCACTTGGTACTCTCTGTCTGTAAACTTAATAAAACAACTGGCCAGGTAATTGCCCGAAATTGAACGCCCACTTCTGTATATTGAGGACAATTTAGCTGCGGGGATAGTTTGTCACGGGAAGTTATTTGATATTAGTCTGAATTCAATTCACGAAAGCATTCATTTTCGATGCGTGGATACCCGATTTTAGAATAATTCGTTTTTTTTATTACATAGGAGGTTTGACGAGTTCACAGCCCACTTGGTGTTAAGAGTTACCGGAGCCTATAGACATCTACAACGCAAATGTCGCCACCCACCTTGAGATATGAGTTCTATGGTCTCAGTATAGTTACAACGGCTGCCCCACCCTTGAAACCGAAACGCATTACTGATACCCGTGCAGGCCAAAAGACGTCCTACCTAAATTTATCTACGTCCTACGTTTTACTGGAGGTAGGACCTAAATTTACTGGTGGTAGTTCGGTGTTCCTTCGAAGATTTATTGACAGTATTTTTTCTTATCCCCAGAAGGTACGGCGTGGAATTAAATGAGATCCTAAATAATATTGAGTTTACGTCAACCGTACGCAATATCGCCACTTTATTCCAAAATATTAAGGCACAATATGATGTCCCATATATATCACATAAGATTTCATAAAATATTAAGTTATAATAACATTCTTTTACGCTAGATTATTGCCGAGTACCCACACATGTTTTTAACCTGTTGCCTCTGCTAGCTTACTAAACTAGTCGATTTATTTAAAGATTAAAGCCAACAGACTTAACAAAGGTCACTGGGCCATGTTTTTTCTAATCAAGAATTCAGTCTTGTTTTTCCCAATTCGACAATGCAGATAACTTAGAAGTCGATATTGGGATACCCGTGCGAATGAAAATTTTATCTGGAAATTTCCTATTTCTTTCTTTTTTCTTTATTAATAAATATAAACGCGGGTAGCTGAAGTATCCATCAATTGACTGACTCCGAGGTGCAGCAGCTAGCACCCCCGCTGGGCCGACGGTCGTTTGTTCGATTCCCACATCGGTCATACGATAAAAATGTTTATTTGCTCTTAGTCTGGGTGTTTATTATCTTTATATGTGTACATTCAAATGTATACTTTGTACAGGGAATCCTAGTTTGGAGCCAAATTACCGTGTATGAAGTGTCCATCGGTAAATTAGTATTATTATTTAAAAAAAAAAAAGGAAATTTAATCGAAGCAATTATGTGTTTCTGCTTCTCTGAGTTCTCGTCCTGAAACTCTAAACTGGGCATCGGTCGCCTTATGAAGTCAAAGAGCACCAGTACTTGCGAATAGAAAAACAATATCTGATAAATAAAAAACCGTTGTCCGTGTTATAAATAGGACGAGAGCATTTCATGATTGAGGCGTGGCGGCATATGGCCATTACCGGCTGTCGGGTCAACATGACATTACACGGTCTGTTACTGTGCAGAACGTAATGGACGTAATTGCCTTAAATCTTACAGTGCGACGTTGGAAAGCTACTGCTTTTGCATATTGGGCTGAATTAATTCTCTTTTATCATCGTTGTTCAAGATCCATCATAGCGTGGAACGAAACGCATAAGCTCATTTTCTTATATTATCTGTGCATTTTTTACTCTTAGTGTTTCTTCAGGTTTAAATGTGTAACCATCATTTTACTGAGATTATATTTCATCCCATATCATCTCATCTCATTTCATTTAATTTCATTCCAGTCGATGAATGTCGCAAATTCATAAAATGTGAATATCATGTTTCATAAAATTATGATTTTATATTAAAATAAGACATGACCTAAAGGTTTTAGTTACCATGTCATGAAATCCCTTTAAAAAAAAATCTAAATCACGACTTAGGCGCCTTTTGTTATGAATTTTTTCAAACTTGTTTATCTGATTTATTATTGTCGGCCTTAAATATAATATCACTTCCACAAAACCGACTCTTTATTTGTCCCAAGCGTGGATAATAGTATTCTATTAGATTGTTTTAACGTGACCAAATATAAACGTGACCTTGTCGGATCGTTTCATTCATCCGATGTTCACATTTAATTTAGGTCTGTATTTTATGGCGTGAGTAAGCTCTGTACGTGATAATTGAAAAGATAGCCCTAAATGAAACAGTTTAATTATGACATTTTGAATAGACGATAGAATTGTTTGAGATGATACCTTCATCTCGTTTTTACTATCGCACCGCTCGCCATCGGAGTAGAGTTCGTCTCTCATAGACACAGCCCACAGAGTTTCTCGCCGGATCTTCTCAGTGGGTCGCAATTCCGATCCGGTGGTAGATTCTGCGAAGTACTGCTCTTGGTAGGGTCAGTGTTAGCATCACTCCGGTTTGAGCCTCGCGAGCTCATCTACTAGTTAAGGCTACTACTACCAGAGAGTTCTCTGATTACTTTTTCGCTGTTAACCAATACGCGTTCAAGTAAGAAGGATGAAATGGCTAGTAAAATTCGCTTGAGAATTCTGAGCACTCAGGATGGTGTCTGAAGGCGTGTAGTAATAACTGATTATTTACTAAACACTGGGCAATGAGATCCTTTTTTTTTTATTACTTAAATAGACTGAAGAGCTCACGCTATGTGGTTACCGGAGCCCGTAGACATCTACAACGTAAATGCAACCACCCACCTTGAGACATAGCTTCTAAGGTCCCACTTTTATAACAGTACAACGTCTGCCCCACCATTCAAATCGAAACGCTTACTGCTTCACGGCAGAAATAGGCAGAGCAGTAGTACCTACCGGTGCGGACACACAAGTACTCCTATAACCAGTAAAAAATCCTCAACCTCAGCTCAGAATGACGAACAATAATTCCGATTCTCCTCTACCGAACCAGGCCAAGCAATCGTCTGCTACCAATGCAACAGTCACAACGACTCCCGATGCATCATGGAGGACCTGCCGGACACGCTGCGGCAGCCGTGCAAGTCCACTGACACAATGTGCAGGAAGATCAGCCAGGTCGTGGAGTTCGAGATGAACGGCATGCCCCCGGATAACAGAGTCATCAGAGGGTGCGGGTGGGATGAAAGCAACTACAAGGTAAGTCATTTTTATGGACATAAAGACATGCTCCCTAGTCGACTACCTCAGGTCGAGTGTTAATTCTCTAGAAGACAAACTTCGGATCGGAACATATACTTCGCGGCAAAAACATGTAGGAGAGTGGACAAGTGACTATTATTGCCGTGAAGCAGTAATGCGTTTCGGTTTGAAGGGCGGGGCAGCCATTGTGACTATACTGAGAGCTTAGAACTCATATCTCAAGGTGGGTGGCGGCATTTACCTACGTTATAAGTTTCTATGGGCTCCGGTAACCACTTTACACCAGGTGAGCCCTGACGATCTATGCAGGGTAAGCTACCCTAGGTTAGCAAAAGATTGACGACAGAAGCCGAGGAAGCCGAGGAACGGAAGGAGGAGTTCAGTGGCGTGAAATTGGAGTGGCCTATTTCCAGCAGTACACTGCTATAGGCTGATGATGATGATGATGATACCATTTCCGATGTTTCTGACACTTTACAGTTTTCATGGTCGAGGAATACTGAAAAGTATTCGACTGTTCCAAAGTATTCCATAACACCGGTCTAAAGTTAAATTAAAAATGCACATCAGAATCGTGCACGCAAATCTTCTTCTTCTGAGTCGGTCTCTTCATTGCTGAAGGTCGTGTCTAATTTGAGATGTTGATCACTCGATGCACAATGCTTCCCCACGTCTTCCTGTCCTCGGCGGTCTTTATAGCCTCGATTATTGGTAGGCCGATGAGTGTCCGGCGAATCCGTCTCCAACACCACATTTCAAAAGTGTCGATCTTTGCCCTCTCACTTCGTCTTATCGTCCAGGATTCGCACGAAAATAATATTATGGTAATATGAACACAATGTTTTAACATTAAGAATTGTTTATGAAAATCTAATATACGTGTTTCGAATCTTTTTGCGCATCTAGGTCGGAAAAAATAAAACCTTTAATTACTTATTAATTGACGCACTTCAGTAAAAACTTTCAAGCGAACGTTACACCCCTAATTATGCCATTACTGCTATTTATTCTTCCAGGGCCGTTGCTACCAGCGATCAGGGTTCGGCGGAAGACAAGAGGTCTGCTCGTGTCTGACCGACGGCTGCAACTCAGCGTCGTTACCAGTTATGGGAACAACAGTGATGCTCCTCACGCTAGCACTCCTGAAGTTCTAGCCATTACTCTCCAACCAACTGTAGTTTCACGGGTGACTTGTGTTCATCATAGTTCGAAGGATAATTTAAATCGGAAGATCACGATACATTGATGTAAACGTTCTCTAAAACTAAAAATAAATCTAAAGATATATTTCATAGATAATATTAGACGCTGTTAATACATCGCACTGAAAGACAAATACGCTAAGCAAATTAGCAGTACAATGTAAATAAACGATAAACAGTTCAAGTAACATTGATGTGTTAACGCAAACATGACCTAAATGCTAGAACAATAAAGTCCATGATAATACAAAAGTGCGGCAAAGCTCTGTTATAATATGATAACGTTAAAAGTTATATATTACATCTAGATCTTTATTGTTGTGTTTGAGAATGTTAGTAGTACCTAGATATTAATTAAATGGTTTTTAATTAGATGTTTTTCATTCATTTTAAATTTTCATTATTCTACTATTAATTTAAGTTAGATTTGTTAGAAGAATTCGTCTAGAGTTGAACGCAAGTATTCTGATATCTGGCACTTAGGAAAATTGAGACTGTCAGCGCAAAAGTGGCCTAAGCTTTTCATAGTTAGTATGGAGCAAATGAGGTTTGAATTTATTTTTCCGCTGCTTCGTAAGCAATAATAATATGCGAAAAAATAATGTTTACAATCTGCTGTCTATGGGTAAAACTGGAGATAGGCCGGTTTTTCATCAACTTTTATTATGTTTCAAATAAATTCCAATATATAAGTAAGAATATGAAAAATTGTGGGTTAGGCCAGTTTTGCGCTGACGGTCTCAATTATATTTCTAGTTATTCGTAATATTATATTCGATATTGACCAAAAAGGTTAGTTATTCAAAGTTGCTTTGTCTGAGGTTCACGATTTTTTGGGACTTGCCAAGTTAGATACAGGGCATTGAGGGTACGTGATCATGGTGTGTGTTCCAGAAAAATCCGCTGTTTTCTGACTGACATTGGATAATTGACTTAGTGCTTAGACGAATGATAATAAAACAAAAAAAGGAAAACGGATTTGAATAAAATAAAATGAAAATTTAATCAATGATAATATAAATAAATCAATGATAATATAAAAAAGTCAATTAAGCATGCATTATTAGGAGGATGCATTACAAGGACTTAGTCTAAAAACTACTTGGCAGATCTTGTCAAAATTTACACGGGACCACATAATAAGTATCAATATTTTTCAAAAGCTTTCCAATAAGAAAATAATCAACATTATCAGTTCACATAAAAAAAAGTTCTGACGCAAAACGCAAAAGATACAGTCGAATTAAGAACCTTCTTATTGAAGTCAGCTAAAACGGATTCAACGGAATGTAAACCTAATTGAAAAAAAATCTAATTACAGAGTTGCGTTTAAATTTACATTCGTTGGGTAAGTTCTGTATACCAGTCAGAGAAACCAAGATAATTAAAGCAACGCGAATTCTATTCTTTACTATACTTTGAAGCAAGATATCAGAATGATAACATTCTAATTGCAAACGAATAATTTCTTTGTGGCAGTAATCCCAATGAAACGAGTCATCTAGATTTTTAAGTCAATGTGATTCAATCCCCTAGATTGTGAATTTCCTTTAATATAACAGACGCATCCTATTATCTAATTGAAATCCAGATGGTACCAGGTTTGGAGACCCGCTGCGGCCTTGGGGGTCCTGTTGTCGGGCTCGCTGCTATTATTCAGTTTAAATGTGGTACCCAAGTAGTACACAACATGAAGTATTTTATGATAGTTCTTGTATTTAGTGGCCTTGTTAAATTTGGTGAGTTTCAATAGCGCTATAATTGGCATTAAGGAATAATGGGGCGCTAAAACTTTCAAAATCGCGTTAATTTCGGCTTTAATGGGGAATGTTTTGGGGTTTGTCGTAAGTGGATCGCCGATTTTTAGGATTCGTTCCGTATCAGCAATTTTTAGGGTTTACGGGGGGTGTTTTTTACTAGGGTTCACCAAATACCTACTGATTGTTTCGTGGTTAGAAAAATTGATATTTTAATCATGCATTGGTAATAATTTATATTACTTTTACGATTTCATTACGCGTTTTCTATTGCCATTCTATTGTTTCCATCATTTCGTATACATTACAGTTTTGCGTGGTCACGATTGACTGAAGTGTTGTTTGTCGACTTTTTAACCCTTTTAGTGCAGAGCATAGTTTCACATATTATGCAGAAATTGCCAAAACGAATGTCGTAAAAAACCTCATTATAAAAAAACCTTAACTTAAAAAAAAAAACAATGCTAAAATTCACAGCATAATTTAAATTACATCTACCCGTATGGACACCTAGTTTTTCTTGTTCACACAAAAATAATAAACGGCCAAACTTAAAGAACTAAACATTCCACATTCGATGACTCCAAGCTAAAATGTCCTACCGTGCTACCGGAAATAGACGAGGAAAGGATTATTTACATTGAATACCAGATACCTTTAATAAAGATTCCATGCTACTTGGAATTGAACCTTTGCGACTCATTACTCCGACTACTACACTACACTAAGCCAACGCAGATGTTATAGCATTTATCGTCCTAAGATCGTATAAGAATGTTTTCGTGGCCTAAAGCATAAAGCACCCCGTGTATTTGTGTCGAGCGATTTGGCGATACCGATGTTCGAATCCTGTAGGCAGATACCGTTTTTTCTGATTAAAAATACGTGCCTAACTCACACTGTACAATAAAAAACAAGCCATAATCGTAAATCGCTCAATTGAGACACAGACCTCAAATCTGAAAATATGTCGTGCGCTTATGTCACAATATCTATTGGCTCCGGTAACCACTTAAAATCAGCAGGGCTGTGAGCTCGTTGAAATGTTTGCTCAATGAAACAAAATTCCCAGTAGAGTGCAACACAGAAATAGCTAATACAAATTGCCTTGATACCGGATTTGGGTGGGCGTTTATTTATAAATGGCTTATATTGGACGATGCGCTATATTGGATGATCTAGGCGCAGTCAAGGATGAATTACATCCTGTACGCTGGTTTATAGTCATAGTTTGTAGTATTATTTTAGATCAGATTTTGTATTACGGTTTTAATGAGTGCTGATTTTTCGCTGAAGTTTCGTTTCTATATATTGCTAAGTCTATGTACACACATACCCTGGGTACCATATATTTATATTTTAAAATTACACGATTCCTGTGCTAATTCAGTGAAGAACTGCTCTTGCTAGGGCTAGTGTTAGCAAATTCTCTCAGGTTGAGTTCGTGAGGCGTGAACTAATCTAACGGTTACTTAGTTGGAAAAGTCCCTTAGACTAAAAAGGATTATGTAGAGGAAATAAAAAAAATGATTTTTTTTTTCATCTCGTTTTTACCATCGCACCGCCCGCCACCAGAGTAAAGTTCATCCATACTACCTGGAGCCACTGCGGTCATCCACAGTGCGTTTCCAGAGGTCTTTTTTGCTACGTACCATCCGGCTATGGAATGAGCTCCCCTCCACGGTGATTCCCGAGCGCTATGACATGTCCTTCTTCAAACTTCAGGCTTGTGGAGAGTATTAAGCGGTAGGCAGCGGCTTGGCTCTGCCCCTGGCATTGCTGAAGTCCGTGGGCGACGGTAACCACTCACCATCAAGTGGGCCGTGTGTTCATCTGCCTACAAGAGCAATAAAAAAAACAACGGCTGCCCCACCCTTCAAACCGAAACAAATTACTGCTTCACGGCAGAGATAGGGGGGGTGGTGGTACCTACCCGTACGGACTCACAAGTGGTCCTACCACCAGTAAAATGCAAAATGTTGTTGTAAAGTAAGTCATTCATTCACATAATTTATGATGAAGAAACCAAGACGGTAACCAGTGAAGTTATGAATTAAAAAAAAGTTAATTTGTAACATAGATACTAAAATATAATCAGCAAAACATAAGAGGCGAGACTAAATCGTAAGAACGTATTTGATATTCCCAACTTTGATCTAAGAGATCGTGCAGATCGCAACCCAAACCTTCATCTCATAATAATACTTTGTGTCGTAACCTTAAATTTTAATCTTAATATACAAATAGCACGCAAATAAATTCCGAGATAGCGACTAGGTATAGAACTATGGAGATATTGGTCGGGACCATGGAGACCTTGTTAGGCTCACACTCACACACCCTGAATTGAAATGACACAAACTAACATACATATTTAACGAAGGATTACTGGTGGCCTGGAGGCTTTTCCAGTTTCTTCAGGACAGGTGGGCGAGCATGGGGTCAGCCAGGAGGGGTGGGATTTTTTAACAGCTCCCCTAGCGCCCCTGAAGAAGATCGGTTTGAACTATACTGAGATCTTAGAACTTATATCTCAAGGTGGGTGGCGCGTTTACGTTATAGATGACTATGGGCTCCAGTAACCACTTAACACCAGGTGGGCTGTGAGCTCGTCCACCCATCTAAGCAATAAAAAAAAGATCTGGCGGGAAACTCGGCGGGCTGATCTATGGGTTAGGTTTCACGGCGAACTCTTTGCCGAGTTCGACCAGTACGGTTGGGCATACACTACGTTATTAGCTACGAATAAAGTTCCTTTCAATTAAAATTTTCAGGCTCCACAATAATGTGCTACGAATGTAACAGTGCTACGAACAGTCTGTGCCTGCAGACTATTCCTCCTGACACCTTAAAGAGAAATTGCTCCATACACGACAAGGGCGTGATCCACACAATGTGCAGGAAGATCATCCAGCACGTCGACGTGCCTCTGAACGGAAAGTATCCAGAAAGTAGGGTGATCAGGACTTGTGGCTGGGACGAGAGCAAATTCAAAGTGAGTTTTCCGATCACGGAAATAAGGTGCAATTTTGTGGTCATGGTCTGTATGATACTTATGACATTACATCGCTTTTCGTAAGGCAAAATATAAATAGTATGCTTAAGTTTGTTGAGAGAGTAGCTGGCTATTCATTCAACAAACATTCATCGTTGCGTTTAATTGTCGCCAATGTCAAATAATTATCCGACAAATTGCCAGCCGTAAGTATTTGTGAATATATTGCGAAAGCGAAAAACTTTTTAAAGCTGGTTGACTTCAAACAATTTTTATCGTTACGATTATATATATCTTCAAGTCCTTCCTGAATCTATTTTAATGTATTTAATAATCTCTTAGAATCAGGTGGTCTTCTAAGTCTACCTTGTTGACCAATTATTTTTCTCCAGAATGTATGCTACCACCGCGCAGGATACGGCGGAAGGCAAGAAGTATGTTCCTGTCACACCGACTATTGCAACAGCGCTCAAGGACATCGAATCACTAAGATACTACTGTCTACTGTGTTATTGATAACGAGCGTGAAGATATGTTACTGAAATTCGTCTAATACTGATTTATCATAAAGGGCATTAATTGTTCCAAATTTATTAAAAGAGCTTTTTTTTATGGTGAGAAATCTTTCTGTTACCCACACTGTCGAGTTAATAAATAAAATAAAAATGTGACTAATTTTCTTTTTTAATTATCTATTGTAAACATTAACATTTAACTCCTTTGAGAAACATATTTTTAAATTAATAAAATCGTTATTACAAGCAGGGGACATTCCCCAATGCTGAAATGAGAATAATGTACCTAATAGCTCACAGTAAAAAGAACACCGGATCTTTTTTTTTTTTTTATTGCCCTTGTTGGCAGACGAGCATACGGCCCACCTGATGGTGAGTGGTTACCATCGCCCATGGACTTCAGCAATGCCAGGGGTAGAGCCAAGCCGCTGCTTACCGTTTAATACTCTCCACAAGCCTCGTTTGAAGAAGGACATGTCATAGCGCTCGGGAAACACCGTGGAGGGGAGCTCATTCCATAGAAGGATGGTACGTGGCAAAAAATATCTCTGGAAACGCACTGTGGATGACCGCAGTGGCTCCAGGTAGTATGGATGAACTCTACTACGGTGGCGGGCGGTGCGATGGTAAAGTATAGATAGTAAAGTTTAGTGCTATTGTGCTGTGAACACTTTATAATAGTTAATAAAAAATAAACTAGATGGCGTTGTTGTTTTTATTCACAACACGAAAAAGTAATAAGTAACTTGCATAAATATATAATTATATTTTTAACCTAATTACCTCTTCATTCTAAACAGTACCTCGACTAAATAAATAAATATATAAATGTGATATTTAAACAATACAATATAATACATTCTTATGATATTACAATAAAATAATGGGTACCTATTTATTACCTTTGCTTAGTAATACTAATTGAATCACAGAGTTAGATTTTTGTCACTGTACTATGCACGCAATTTTCAATTTTGTTTGTTCTTATTTCCCTTTTGTAGGAACGGATGAAATTTACTCGGTTCACATCTATTCTGCTTAGTGTTAATTATGAAAATTTGTTCAATTTTTATCAAATTTATTGTAGGCAGCTACAATTATTATTGTAGGCAGCGGCTTGGCTCTGCCCCTGGCATTGCTGAAATCCATGGGCGACGGTAACCACTCACCATCAGGTGGGCCGTATGCCCGTCTGCCTACAAAGGCAATAAAAAAAAAAAAAAAAATCAAGAAACACACGCAACGCTGCATGTTGTTTTCCAAAAAAATGCATAACTTATTACTGTACTAAATACATAATATGATTACCGAAAAGCCGCTGTATTTCGATGCTCAGGAAAACCTTGCAGCGATGAATCATCAGAAGTCAATAGATTGTTGAAAATTAGATTTTGAATTAAAAAGGAAACAACTTTTATTTACAAGTATATGTATTAGTCGTTGGTCAATTTATCAACCCGGAAAGAGGGCGTGAAAGTGACCACTGCGCCCACCTTCTGTGGTGTTCAGAGCAAATAAGAAATAAATTACATATTTTTTACTGGTGGTAGAACCTCTTGTTAGTCCGCGCGGGTGGGTACCACTACCCTGCCTATTTCTGCCGTGAAGCAGTAATGCGTTACGGTTTGAAGGGTAGGGCAGCCGTTGTAACTTACTTGAGACCTTAGAACTTATATCTCAAGGGGGGTGGCGCATTTAGGTTGTGGATGTCTATGTGCTCCAGTAACCACTTAACACCAGGTGGGCTGTGAGCTCGTCTGCCGATCTAAGCAATACAGTTACAACGGCTGTCGTCGACGAACTCGGCAAAGAGCTCGACGTGCAACCTAACCTGAACATCAGTCTGCTGAGTTTCTCGTCGGATCTCCTCAGCGATTCCGATACGGTAGTAGATTCATTCGCGAAGCAGCTGCCCTTGAGTTCTTAGGGCCCCTTTAGAGGCGCTCGGGTAGCTGTTAGCAAATCCCACCCTTCCTGGCTGAGCCTTTGCTCGCCCACCTGTCCTAGTGAAACTGGAGACGCTTCCGGGCCACCAATAATCCCTCATTAATAAATACCTAAATAATAAAAAAACATATAATTTTTTTGTTAAAAATTAAACAAAATAATTAGACCTACCGACAACACTTCTTACTAAAATATGAAATCGTTATTATAACAAGTTTGGTACAAGTAATACGATTTGTGCAGTTTCTTGAATTTTTTTAATACGGACTTGTGTTATACTATAATAGGGGTCTATTTTTAAACCTCTATAATTAAAACCTATGTTTGAGCCCTGAAACCCGCTCCATAGCACCGTAAGGGACAACGACGACCCTTCTTATGTGCCAAAAACCTAATGGACCTATAAAGAGTTGCAAATTAAAGATCAAAAACCGAACTATTTGGCTGTGAGTGTCTCTGAAAAAAAAGCAACATGTTACAATTGTCACAAAACAAATGAAGCAAATCATATGTTTCATCGCATTTAATATTTGGCAAGACACAGAAAGGAAAGTTCATTACACATGAAAATTAAAATAAAAAAAAATGATTATATAATATTAATTTAAACATTTAGAAAATAAGAAACCAGTTGTTCCAATCAAGAAGGAAATCATTTATATCGTAAGATTTAAAAAAAAATATACACAATTTGACAATTATCTTGTAGCGAGTGACATTTTAGAAATTTTATCATGGATTGACCTGTGAACCGGACGTGTGTGGGGCAAAACGTAAAACTTTGGTAAGTTTCAAACAGACACATTAAACTACTTATATAAAATGTGTATTTTAAAATTTGTATCGTCAGTGGCTTATTACACGTTAATTTTCTGATAGTTAATTAAATTTTCTTTCAAAAGTAAATACTAAAACATTATTTTCTTCCACGTCCTCTAAATTTGAAATTACCTAGCCATTTTGATACGAGATCCCTAAATGAATCCGCTTAATCTTACACAGATTGAGCGGATTCATTACCAATTTGAGTATTCTTAGTAGTATATCCAACTCATCGAGCAATAGATGAAGTACGCCTTCAATAATTTTAGTACTGACGAATTTCATATATTCGAATTTTCTTACCCAAGTTTCTAATTAGAGGGACCACCTAGATCTCCCGTGACGTCATTGTCTAAAATAGCTATGGTGACATTCTTGTTTAATCAAGAAAATATATTATTAACCCTCGATTAAAATATAATTTCATTAATTTAATTAATAATACACTATTTCAATAAAACGAAATCATATCGTAAATACTAATTATTTTTAACGAAAGCGTAGTATATAATGGTCATCGTTACTTCAACAGCTAATATAAGCCAGATGCAAGATTATGGAGCTGGTGTTTCTAGCAATAACGCAGATATTCGAGAAAGTTCTGAAGGAAAGGATCGAACGTCTCAACAGTCTGAGAGCTTCCAAACCCACCACTCTATTACATACCAAAATCATTATGGTAAACTACATTTGTAAATTTTTGCTTGTTACTTAATTTTCGTATATTTAATTACTATGATCGAAACCGAAATTAGCTATTGAATTACCGGTATCAACATTGTCTGTGATGTACTGATAATTCTAATCTTATTCATTAAAGTATTGTATACTTTATTTATTATAAAAAAAAGAACACAATATTCCTAACCCAAAAGTACATGTTATTATCCGCAACATGCTTCGTCAGAAATTGCTTCGTCATTAAAGTTATTTTTCACTGCTGTTACCTAAGGCAGAGCTTTACACAAGAAAATTTCAGTTAAGACCTATAAAAGTTAGAGAGCCTTTGCTACCGCGCTCAATCACGTCTTCTAGATAAATATAGTTAGATATTATTGGTTACTCCTTTTAGGAGTCTTCGACAAAGATTTATCGGATCAGAACATAGCGACGTATTGTCGTGTAGCGGCAGGAATATACGAAGCCACATCACTGAATCAACAATACCAAAACTCGAGGTTTGTTGCTTTATGTTAATTTGTTGGAATTACTTTCGTAAGTCTGACGATGAATATATTTTCAGAAATTCAACTGTTCCAACGTTCAGTTCACCACCGAATTCTCCTCTAGTTGGTCTCGTGTTCGATCCTTCTTCACACAGCTACCACGGGTCAGGTATAATGGGAGATAGGGGTGCGAACCTCGACAGACGTTCCCAAAGTACATGGTCGATAAACAGTCTAGAGCCAATAGGGACTGGTGCTAAGAAAAAAATTATTAAGAGCCAAGACAAACGTAATGCGTACAGCGCAGATCCACGATATCACGACCGAGGCAAAGACGAATATGACCGACAAAGAAGCCTCCGTGCCGAATCGTCGTCGAGTCTTGATTTTTACGTCGAAGGCGAACGTATGGTCTCGGAACTATGCAACATACCTGATTGTAAGACCGAGAAAACTGGCCAGTTGAAAAATAATCATAAAGGTTCTAACCTAGATGAAGATAAAATTAAATCGGCTTCATCCGAATTACTACTTACGGCTTTAGACAAAATAGTAGTACATGATCAAATTCCAAATCAAATTGTTCAACTTGCTATTGAAGCTTGCACCGATGCTGAGAATATTGCTATAGCTCATCACAACAGGCCTTGCTTTAAAAACATACATTCGATTTGCGCCAAAACTAGGTCTAACGTCCAAAAACCGGATAGTGCAGTAGCTAACTTACACTCTCAAGGAATACCCTGGGTCATTAAGAACTTTATATTTTCCTTCGTTAGGATTTTAGACGGATGGAAGGGTGTAAAAGAGTTACTTAGCGAAAAACACGATACATTTTCCAGAATTGAAAATAAGTATTACAGTCCTAATATCAGAGAATGCTTTGTGCAATGGCAGGCGGTCACCAAGGAAATGTTAACACACATATATAAGACATTCAAGTGTCTTGATCACGGTTTTACTATGGAACAAAAGAGTTTTGCACACAACTATTATGCAACTAATTCTGCAGCACCTAGACACCAAGCTCAAAGTAAATATCAACCGCCGAAACCTCAAATCAGTACTCCCAGACCAATAAATGTATCTCCGCAACCATTCAGTACTGTTCAACCACCTTGGATTCAAGGTCAAAGCCAAACAAGTAATCAATCGTTCAATGAAGTACCATGGGGGCGACCTGGAGTTAGCTATAAAAAGTTTCCCGTTGTACCACCAAGTACTTTTTACCCTTTAAACGATCAAAGTGATATTGAAGTTTACCAGAAAGTGTCATATAAATGTGATCCTTGTAGCATACGTGAAGCTAAACCTCGTCAATCTTGGACGATTGCCAACACTCCTGACTTCCGTTCATTTGAAAATGTTTGTCATACGGATCAGAGAGATTTATACAATCAATTGAAACACAAAATAGATGCTGAGCTGGTCAAAGCTCCAGGTCAACCTGTGATGAGTAGCAGCATGGTCTGCGATCTGTTACAGCGAAGGGAAATGGAAATGAAAGCAAAAATGATTCCGTTGAGTCACGTTGAAAAGACTCTGATACCAAGTATGGCATCTGCCGTGGATCCAAGAACTTGTTTTGTACACAAAAACAATAGTTGTGGTGACACAAAAGAAGAGAATGATTTTTTTGCGACATGGGGTCAGATAACACAAAAAGAAACTAATGATTACATGGCTCATCACACTCATAACGTTCAGAATTCACCAAGCGTTTTGACTGTATCAAGTAATGTTTCTGGCCCCGTAAATTTTCTAGATGAAAATGATGAGTTCCACGAAATGGCTAAAGTTTATATGAAACCCGGAAGTTACAAAGTTCCCATTAAGCCAGCCGATGCGTTCGCGTCAAGTAGTTCACAAGATGCTGGGAACGAAGGCCAAGTTTTAGATGAATTAAATACAATGCAAATAAAAGCGTCGTTTTCAACAATAACTTTAGCACCACAGCCAAAATATAATCTGGAATCTTGGCCATGCATAATGACCAGAAGAACAGAAGAAGTTTATAGCGAGGATCAAAAAGTTATAGGTAAACCCCTGCATACCACAACTTGCTTAGACGTCAGCTCTACAAATCAGGTGGATCTTTTAAGCTCTATGACTTCAGACAGAGCTTGGGAAGCTGCGAAGCAGTCTGCACCGAAACTAATGGACTTTTTGCACGAGGATTCGAAATCCGATACGGCGAGACTCTACGATGCTTTAGGCTTGTGCACTAATGACGATTACACTGATTTAACGCAAACTAAAGCAGGAATCGAAGAGACTGATGAATGGACCGGTACTATGCCATCAAACACAAGCTTCTGGAATCAGAATAATCGGAACGACCACTGTGTGAAAAGTACAAATGATTCAGTGTCACTTGAAGAAGCAACAAAAAATCAAGATACAGAGATTAGAGCTAAAGACGCAAATGACACTATTGAAGTTTCTGACTCAAACGAACCAAAGGAGCCTCCCCGATGTCCAAGCTTTGACCAAAGCGGTAATTGCATTAGAGATGAAACTCACAAGAAATCCACCGGCAAATTGAAAGTTGGAGCATCTGGTATGTGGTATCACCCGAAAAAGAAAAAGCCATTATCGAGTGGCATTGTTAAGAAATTTGAAAATTTACTTGCCAATTTGTCGAAAGTGAACGAAGCTGCATTTATTCAACAAGATATGGATATTAAAATGGTTAGATTGCCTTTTTTATTTGCTTAATACGTGTAGGTGAGCTAGATACTTGTTTTACCAAGAGCGCTTAAGTTAGGCCTTAATGAAAAGTCTTCCATGAACACGATCGATTAACCTTCACATTAATTAAACAAAATATGTTTATTGAGAATATTTAAGTGTGTCAATAGTGAGATCTTATTGTTTATTTATCTTTACATTTTGAGCAAATTTTGTATTGTACATACAACAAATAAGCCGTTTATCTGAGGCTATCTACTATATAGCGGTCCTTTAAAGTATATTAGTCGTACCAAAACTGAGGCAAGGCAAGGATGGTAAGTTTTCTACTAATTACAGGCCCCGCGATTTTATGAGATCGTCAAATACCCGATGTGTCTTCACGATATATCGACTAAACTGAAGAATTCTTCATACACCGACCACGAACAAGTCGTGCAAGATTTTCGGCGGATTTTCAACAATGTCCGTCTTTATTTAAAGGTAATTAATAAGTCGGTTTCTTTTAAATATGAATATCAACAATTTTTACTTCACATGCGACCGAAAAGTAGTTCAAGATGTTTTAAGAATAATAATAGCACATCTATTTTTCACTTTTGATTGTATAATTTATCGCCTCGTTTCCGAAACCGACTCAAATTTTCGTTAGACTTTAGAACTTTTGGGTTTAGAGAACTTATAAAACAATACTGCAGCTTTGTTAATAATTCAGAATAAATCTGAACCATGCCTTTGATTTCGTTCGCTTACGTTACTCCCGGTCCGCACTTCGGTTTCCTCAATGCTGAGGGTCGTGACCACCTCTTCGCAACAAGAGTCTATTGTGGATCACTTTAAGCTATTGGTTCCTATCTGCCGCCGAGAGTAGAACATCGTGAACTGTGGTATCGGGAGTAATGCGGATATGGTCAATCTTAACGGGTTGGGCCTCTACCATATGCTCTTTTTCCGTCCACTTTGCCAGTGATCATTAGCTTCTCCAAATTGCCGTCATCCTTTCTGGCAACGTGGCCAAATTATTCCAGAACTCTTCGTAGGAAGACGGTAGAAAGCCTCGTCTGTATCTGGAGTTCTTACTTACTATCCTAGTGAAATATAAAAAAAATACATATATAAATATACTACACTACCGATAATAATCGCTCCTTAAAAAAATTGGCGTCATTGCAGAGTCACCCTGATGCGGCAATGAAAAAAAACGTTAATAAAGTTTCCAATGAATTCGAGAAGATGTTGAACGATGAATTTCCGAACAAACGCGACGGAAAATCACAGGCTGACAACACAATGCAACACAAGAAACACGAAAAGGAAGAAACAATTAAATGCGATGATACAAACAAGAGAGGCGATATGAAAACTCCGGCTGACGAGAAAAAATAGCGAAGTAACGTTTAATTACTTGATTTATTAAAAAACAAAACAGTAAATGAATAAGTTCGAAGGGTTTATGATTCTGTTGTATATGAAAATTATATTTTTATTAATCAGGGCATTTAATGTCAAGGTATGTTCTAAATTATGCATGCGCTTGCGTCCTATCCAAACGATATGGCGTCAGTGACATTTGACACTTTAAAAACAATATTTCACGACCTAGGTATAATAAAATTTGCGAATTCCATCCTTTTGAAATTTTGAGTGCAGAGTGATAGATGTAATTGGTTGGTATTTTCTTTTTCTTTTAGTAAACAAATAATGGAAAAGTGTCGGTAGCTGAATGCTACTAAATGGAACTCTTAGATATTTTTTTGTAAATATAACACCGAATCGCTCGATTTTTTTATTTAGGCCTAGCAACAATTACATAAAAAATATTTTTGAATATGGCGCTTATGGTTCCCTCTAGGCGCGGGAAAACTATTTTATTTACTGGTCGTATGGCAAATTGGCCATAACGCCTTGTAACGGTACGATAAAAATTGAAAATGTCTTAGGTAATAGTTCCGCAATAATCTTTCAAAAACATCGATGGATCAACTTTATTGCAATCGATTGAATTTGTCAATTTTTGAACTCGCCTTTGTGACATAGCTTGTTCTTCCCTAGAGACCTTTCGAAGGCAGTGTAATGAAGCTGTAAATACCCGTAGAATAGATTTTAGCACTAATTTAGTAAATTTTAAACGATGTCATAGAGTAAAAAAATTATAAAAAACATTATTCGCTGATCTGCTAGTTTAGTAGAGCTGAGAGAGATTCAAGACAAAAGTACCTACCAATAATTTCTCGAGATGGGCATTAGTTGAATTAAATCGGCGAATATGTGAATGTAACGCTTTATCCGTATGAATCGATTTTAGAGAATCGATTCTAAACAAAAGGCGAATTTAACCGCTTGAACATGACCGATAAATCGATTCATTAAAAAACAATTCGCCCTACAACATTAATGATTCGACTTTGTAGCTAAGAGCCGATCTGTGTATGCAAAATACTCGTAGCTCGCACTAATATATTCAATCGCGACATTGTTTGGGTCTTTGGAGAAATTCGTCACCTCTATTTCGGTCATATTTTCATATTCACAAATGAATTTTCACTTTCATTGTCTGTTAAATAATTTATTTTAACGAATACAAGTTTTATTATGGGATTTTCGAAAGTTTTGAAGGCATTGCTCTCAAATAGTTTAGGGCAATATCTATAGCGTGTAGCTTTGTGATGTCATTGTGACTTCAATCGATTGGATAGTGAGGGATATAATAATGGTGAAAGAGAAGATATGTATATTGAAATGTTAATGTTAAATTCTAAATTTGATTTGCTTCGTTTGTGTTAATTTTTAAGTGACGATGTTAAGTTGTGATTTTATTAATTTATTTACCTCAAATTATGGCAAGGAACTCGTGTGTGCTTAATAAATGAGCTTTGATTTAAAAAGTTATCTTTTTTTTAATTAAGAATCGAATATAAGTTCATCTGGGGACATATTATTATGGAAAGATCATTGAGCAAAGGGTCCATTTTTTATTACCTCGTGAGACCTTTAGCTCATAGAGCGGAAAGTGACGCTAAATTTCTGGTGGCGTGAATCGGTGCTGGTATCACGTAATACCCGATCCTGTGGACCGAATGGTAAACAGTCGATGTCGCCCTAAACACGTCATCATGGATCCTTCCGATCCATTAACCGTGCTTTTAGGTATCTAAAGCACCGGTCACCGTCCTCGCCGAACCCGTCGCTTGCGACGATGAGCTCAACGAGTAAATTAACCCATAGACACAGCCCACTGAGCTTCTCGCCGGATCTTCTCAGTGGGTCGCGTTTCCGATCCGATGGTAGGTTCTGCGTAGTACTGCTCTTGCTAGGGTCAGTGTTAGCAACACTCCGGTTTGAGCCCCGTGAGCTCACCTACATGTCAAGGAGAAGCTGAAATAGCCTCTAAAGGCTATTAGCATAGGGAGAGAAAATAAAGACATCAAGGTATGTTTTTAATGCCAGAGGGCGTAATTATTGGTGACCGTTACAACAAGACAGTTACGCACGTGATTTTCTACGCCGGATCTATCAGCGAATCGAAATTAGATTCAGCGAAACACTGCTCTTGCTAGGGGGCGGGTGTTTACAAACTCTCTCAGGCTGAGTCCCGTGAGCCGTGAGTTCGCCAATCGATCAAAGTGAAGCCAGAATAGCCCCTCAATGCCACTAGTACGAGATAGGAAGACGAAAAAAAAGATGTGTGCTGTCGTGGGACACCGGATAGGAACGAAGTTCCTTATTATAAAAATATTAATTTAAGTTCTATTCGAGGTATAAAGAAAATAATTATTCGGGTATACATTTTTCACTAAGTTTTTTTTATTGATAAAAATAAATAAAAACTACTTTACAAAGTTATCAACTTTATTTTATTCACAATAATTTATAAAAATATATAATAATAATATACAAAGAAACAGCTATTCATATGAATAATAATAATAACCGTCATCAAGTAGACTATACATTAGACACTGTATAGCCATCGTACTAAGACTATACATAAATAATAAAAATCTTACGTTACGGACGTTTTTTCCCGGTTAGGGTACCCCTCCGCATCGTCGCATAAGGAATTTCGTTCCAAAAAACGAAACGTACATCGAAAAGTGTATAATTCTCAGCAACCGACAATGGTTGTTTACAGTATTGATTTCTTTTTTTTTTTTTTTATGATTGAAAGTTTACTGGTGGCCCGAAGGCCTTTCCAGTTTCACCAGGACAGGTGGGCGAGCAAAGGCTCAGCCAAGAGGGGCGGGATTTGCTAACAACTGCCCGAGCGCCTCCGAAGGAGACCTAACAACTCAAGAGCAATTGTTTCGCGAATGAATCTACTACCGGATCGGAATCGCGACCCGCTGAGAAGATCCGGCGAGAAACTCAGCGGGCTGATGCATGGGTTAGGTTGCACGTCGACCTCTTTGTCGAGTTCGACGAGTACGGTTACCGGGGTCCCTAAGCCTGCCCCTAGTATTAGAGCTGAAGGCATCTAATGCAAAGGTTATTGGATCTGATGGATCCGTAAGGACGTGTCTAGGGCGTCGACGGTGACTGGCTCCTGCATGATCAGGATTCGGGGAGTAGTCAGCGGCGGCAACGATAAGGCGATTATCATGACGCATAGCCTTATCGAAGTATCGTTCCGACGCTGACTTCATGTATTTCCGAATTGATTCGAGGCCCAGGTCGTCGTGTAGGTCAACGTTCCTCACGAACCACGGAGCCCCGACAGCTAACCTGCAAAAGCGGGATTGTAGGGATTGGAGGGTGTCTATGTGTGTGCGGGCCGCGTGAGCGAACACCACACTCGCGTAAGTCATGACGGGCCTTATGCAAGTTTTGTAAAGTGTCACCTTGTTCCGAAGGGACATTTTACTCCGCTTACAGATCATGGGGTAGAGTCTACCGAGAATAAACGCGGCACGGTCACGGACTGATTTTATATGCGGGCGGAATGTCATCGATGCATCCAGGGTAACGCCCAGGTACTTGACCTTCCTGGCCCAGGGTATGGGTTGTCTAAAGAGAGTAATCGGGGGTGTGAGATTCCTCCTCCTAATCCGGGAGGAAATCCGTGTGGAGCTTCCCCTCTGAAATAGCACCGCAGTACTTTTCGCTGGGTTGATGTCTATGCGCCATTTTCGGAACCACTGTCCTAGGGCTAGGGCTGCGCTCTGAAGCTTCTTCGCGATTAGGGACTTATTTCTACTAGAATAGTAAACAGTCGTGTCGTCGGCGAATAAAGCTAAATGGGTCGGCGGCGACCGGGGAATATCGTTGACGAATAAGCTAAATAGGAGGGGTGAGAGGACAGAGCCTTGCGGGACTCCAGCTGTGAGAGGTCGTGGGGAGGAGCGGGTTCCCTCGACTCGATATCGAAAAGAGCGGTTCGACAAGAAGTCCCGTATGATGAGCACGAGACTATCCGGCACGCCCATGTTGAATAGTTTGAAAATCAAACCATTGTGCCAGACTTTGTCGAACGCTTTTGCGACGTCGAAGAAGAGAGCTCCCGTGTATAACGGTTTTGGTCGATTAAGCCCCACAAGAATGTGCTCCGTGAGGCGGTGCACCTGTTGAACGCATGAGTGATTTGTACGGAATCCGAATTGTTCATCGATGAGAATGCCCTTGGATGAGACGAAGTCTCTGAGGCGTTTGTAGAGCAGACGCTCATACAGTTTGCCTAGAGACATGAGGAGGCTAATCGGGCGGTAGCTCGTCGGATGATTTTTTGGTTTACCGGGTTTATGTATGCCGATAACGTCCGCTTCTTTCCACACCGCGGGAAAGATACAATTCGCCATAGCGGCATTGAAAATAGATGCCAACATCACGATGAGTTGGACGGGTAGAAGTTTAATAACGCGGTTGGATATACCGTCGGAACCGGGAGCCTTGCGAGGACGTAGGTCTTTGATCAAGTCTTTAACTTCCATCGGGGTGACGGGTGGTAACGCATCCGAGGGTGGCAAGGAGGCTCTGCGTTCTATCTCACTGTCTACTAATTCTGCATGAACAGGGTCCACGGATTGAGTGCTGGGCGTACACTGGGTTTGCAATGTATCGGCCAGCAGCCCTGCTTTTTCGTCATCATCGAACGCCGTGAGTCGGCCTGGGGGGCCTACGAGGGGGGGCATAGTTACTACCGTATCCGATTTGAGAGTACGAGCTAAGCGGTAGTAAGACTTTGGGAGGGCGCGAGTCCTTCTAAGAAATCAGACCATCTGGCATCTCGGACTTCGGCGATGCGAGACTTTACGTCGCGTTGTAGGGCACGCATTCGAATACGAAGTATTGATTTCTGCTCTACAAATAGGACCTAAGTAAATCACCTTACAAAATAAGCTTTAGCGTTGAGACATTAAATAAAATACAAAATAAACCCTGGGCTTCTTCTTCGTCGCTTTCTTCATTGCTGAAGGTCGTGTCCCTG